ATGCTATTTATTGTAAATGGGATTGTTTTCTTAATTTCCTTTTCAGATTGTTCATTGTGATTGTATAGAAAGGCAGTGATTTTTATTTGTTAATTCTGTATCCTGCAGCTTTCCTGAATTCATTTATTATTTTTAACATTTTTTTGTGTGTGGAATCTTTAGTGGTTTTTTTATATACGATCATTTGTCTGTGAGCAGAACTAATTTTATTTATTTATTTCCAATTTAGATGTCTTTTATTCCTTTCCTACGTAATTCTTCTGGCTAGGACTTCCAGTACTATGTTGAATACCTTTTGTGTGTGTGTGGCCGTGGGGGTGGGGGGGGGAGGGAGTCCTTGGTTAACTAAAATGTTACACCAACACTATTGCCTTTTAGTATATGTCCTTGCCTTCAGTACTATACTCATGTTATCATTATTAGTTTCAATATCCTTAGATTATATCCCCAGTGGATTGGATGGTTCCATTTTAAGTGTGTGCGTGTGTGATCAGTTATTTTTGGATTGCCAACATGGTTTGGAGCCTGGCATATTTTGCTGTCTTAAATTTTATTTTATCCTAGGAATGTTTTCTCTCATTTCCTTATGCTTAATTTTTCAACTTAACCATAAAACAGCTATTTTTGTAGCACACTTGGGTTTTTTCACTTGACATATTCTCCTTGATGATTCTTTTTTCACCTGATATTTTAATGCTTATGCTAAAGTGTATATGGCGGTAATAAATCTGATTTCTGAGACTTACTTTAAAAAGCTTCAGCAAAACAAACAAACAGTGGAGTTTGGGGTATAAACAAAATAGGATTGGTAAATGATGAGAGTTGTTGAAACTCAGTAATAGGGTACTGTGGTCTCATTTGACCATTTTATATTCTTTTTTGAAATTTTTATAATAAAATGTTAAAGCAAACCCACATTTACTGGTTGAAATAACATTTCTTTAAGTTCTATGTATAGAGGTTGACCTTTATTTAAGTCAGTATTTGGAAATAATAGGACTTTTTAAGGTACTAACAATACCTGATGTTACCAGAATAAAAAGACTGTATTTATGCCCTGGCAGGGAAGCTCAGTTGTTTGGAGCGTCCTCTCACTACACCAAGGTTATGAGTTTGATCTCTGGTCGAACCAATGAGTGAGTGGAACAACTGACCGATATTTCCCTCCCTCTGACCCTCCGCCCCTCCATCCCTCCCTCCCTCTTTCTGTAAAAATCAATCAATCAATGATAAAAATGTATAAAAACTATATTTCATGTATTATATTCTCTGTACTTCAGTGGATTTTCCCTCTTATTATTTTGAAAAATATTATACTAGAGAAAAATTGAAAACAAATAATAAAGTGAATAAATACTCTTTACCCATACCTACATCTACCAATTATAAAAATTTGGTCATGTCTATAGATATTCTTTATAGATATCCTCACTGATTTTCTGTGTGCCTTATCTATCAATTATTGAAAAAAGGACATAAATATCTAGCTATAACTAGAGCTTTTTCTGTTTCATTTTTGTTTGTTTTTGCAACATGTATATTGAACTATGTTATTATGTGCAGAAACACTTAGGATAAACAGTGTGGTGATTTTGGGGGAGGGGATAGATGGAGGTGGAAGAGGGAAAATTAAAATTTTTTAAAATTAAATTCATGCCCTACATTACTTTTAAGACCAGCCATCAGAATCAATTTGTTCATAATTTGTTAATATTTCTAGCAAGGTTGTTTAAAATACTATAAATAATAGATGCATACATTAAAATAAAAAATACACATTTTGTGCCTAATTTAATGCCTTCCACATGCCAGGTCTTCAAAAAGTACAGTTTTTATTATTGGAATCACCATTATCATCTGAAGTTTTTGGCTCCAATCCCTAGATGTGTTTCACAGAGAGCAAGAGCAGATGTAAAAAAAAACTTGAACACTGATAATGATTGTATGACAGATAAACAGGAGGGGAAAATTGAGTGTTATCCCTCCATTCCCCTTGTGGAGAGGGGGTGAGGTGGTGTTGCTACATTTGTTTTCTGTTACTTCCCCCCTACCCATTGAAAAGCAGGTTTGCAGAATAATCAGAAAATAATATGACTCTCACTCCAACCCCCCCTCCCCACGGCCCCCAGAACCCTTTGTACTCTAAATCTAGCTTGTCTTTAGGTTATTTCTTAGAGTAAATGATTAAAAATATAGTGTTGATAAGCAAGGGGAAGGAAGTGGGAGAGGGAAGTGATTAGATCATGTGATATGTGCCATTTTTATTTTTAAAAAGTATTGGGATTAATTATTTATATTTGTTTCTCCCTTGTTAGATTGTAGACCCTGTGAGGACATTAATAGCATTTACTTTTTCTTTTGTTCCCATAGCACCTGGAATAATGTACATTTTATTGTATTGTTCAATGTATCTTTCAAAGTTAACTTTGTGCTTTTTCTTTCTATTTTATTTTATTTTTTAAAAAATATATTTTATTGATTTTTTACAGAGAGGAAGGGAAGGAGATAGAGAGTTAGAAACATCCATGAGAGAGAAACAGCGACTAGCTGCCTCCTGCACACCCCCTACTGGGGATGTGCCCGCAACCAAGGTACATGCCCTTGACCAGAATTGAACCTGGGACCCTTCAGTCTGCAGTCCGATGCTGTATCCACTGAGCCAAACCGGTCAGGGTTTTCTTTCTATTTTAGATTTTCTACTTGTGGTCAGAATTTATATCCTATTCATTTCTGTGTGTTTGTGACTTATAAATGATTGATACTCAATAAATGGGTTGAATGAACGATTTAAAGTGTCTTCAGAGTTATAGGTCAGCATTCATAAGAATAAAGCAACTTTTGGCTTTACTTATCTCTATGAATTTATAACTGGAAAATACCTTAGGGTTTAAATATTCTGGATCTTTAATTTTCAAATGAAGTAACTGGTACCAAAGATTGTAAGACTTATACAATTCAGAAACATATGGTAGAGGTAAAGTTAGAAACCATCCCTATCTCTTACTCATGGTGCTTTTCTTTCTTTGTTTTTACTTAATTGTGATATTTTTCTTCTATAGGAAACAAATAGAAAAGAAACAAGTTTATAACCAGCTTCAAAGAAAAATAATATTTTCTATAGACTGTATGTCCAGTTTGGTTCTATGTGTTCTAGTATGTGTTTTCAGAGTATACATAGCATTTCCTCACTGATCATTACCACACTGCGGTCAAATAGAATTTTCTCAAAATTCTCTGAAAAATAAAATTTTAAATATCAGATTTAAAAATTTTTCCATGGATTATAATCCATCCCACATTTACTTAGTGGAAGTAGATAAGTATATAAAATATTTTGGCATTCATTAATTTATTTTTATTCTAATGATAGTCTTAAGAATTATGTAGGGCATAAATTTATTTTAAAATTTTTTAAATTTTATTTTTCAATTATACTTGACATTTAATATTTAGTGCCTGTGTAGGGCATGATTTTTAAATTATTGGTACTATAGATTTTAAAAAATGAGGCCAAATGAAACTATATCACTTAACTATGATCATCTAGAGAGTAAATTATGAACCCAAATGATTTATAGGTATTTTCTTTCCACTGTGGTAAGGCAGATATCCCTTTAGATATATACATTTTTTAAAAAAATTGTCATGGTTAAAGTACAGTTAACAATAACTACTATGCCATTTCCTTTTGTCCTCTTGGGTAGAACTAACGATAAGGTGTTCAATCAGCAGACATTCAAGTGCTGCTAAGCAGTTTGTATTATACTGGATGCTTTAATGTACTTTCACCTAGTCAGTGATGGCGAACCTTTTGAGCTCGGTCTGTCAGCATTTTGAAAAATCCTAACTTAACTCTGGTGCCATGTCACATATAAAAATTTTTTGATATTTGCAACCATCGTAAAACAAAGACTTATATTTTTGATATTTATTTTATATATTTAAATGCCATTTATCAAAGAAAAATCAACCAAAAAAATGAGTTTGTGTGTCACCTCTGACACACGTGTCGTAGGTTCGCCATCACTGACTTAGGTAGTAATTGTGACCCAATTTAAATAAGATCGGATGATATGTAGGAGTTAGGGATTATTTTAATGACTTAAAATTTAAAAATTCTAATTAAGGGAATGCAGTGAAAAACACATTTGATATTTTATTGAGTACCTAGAAAACGAAGTCCTCTATATAAATCAATTTTGTTATAAATAATTTATCTTAATAAAGTAGAAAATAAGAATTTTAGAATGGTGTCTAAGATACTTAATGAAACCTTAACCTTTATTTGTAGCATTTTAGTTACCTTACATATGCCTAAGATTAAGCCAAAAAATTTAATAATAAAAATTTCAAACTCTAAATATGCAGAGACAATTTTTATGAACATTTTGGTATATATATTTTTACACTTCTTGCTTTGTATAAATACTATAAATAAAGTTTATAGTATATAGCATTAAGTTCTCTTTGTAATTTTTTTCACTCAGTAATATGAATTTTTTTTTAGTGTAAGTAACTATTAGAACTACACGAATCCTGTAAACAGGAAGCATGCTAAGTTTTTTTCATAATTTGTTAATCATTCTCCAAATGTTGGACATTTATTTCAAATGCTATCTTACTATAGAGTACTTTTTTAAAGCAGTCTTGCAAATTGAAAATTTTTAAAGATCATCAGGTTATTTACTTGCATTAAGATAAATTTGACACTACTTTTTATATAATCTGTTCACATTACTTTGAATTTATGATAATCATAATTTCTACTCTTGCTTTACTAACTCCCTTATTTGGAACCTTTGGCTCTGGAATAAAATATTTATTGAGCAGAAAAGGTTTGGATATTTTTAAAAATACTTATATTTTAGAATACAGATTTTGAAATGGAGTAGTGTGCCGCAGCAAATTCATAGTACTTAGAACAAGTTAGACATGACGCTTTGATATTTTGATATGTACCTGACATTGAAATATTTAAATGTGTGTGTTTTTTTAAATAGATTATCTTTCTCAAGGAATAGATCTTTCTGGAATTGAAGTAATAGAAAATGATCTACTTTTTATTGCAAGAGCTCGACTTGAAGTGGAAAATCAAGCTAAGCGCCTCCTGGAGCAGGGTGTGGAGACTCAGGTATTAAAAATATCTATCGCCTTCTTAATGTGGAAAATATGTCAAAATACAGATTAACATTTAACTTTGCAATTACAAAAGTAATATGTTTTCATTTTATCACTGAAGAACTATAATTTGATTTGGAGAATAGAGCATAAAGTAAGTACAGGGAAAAGTTATTTGGTATAATTATTTAATTCTAAAAATAGATTCTCAGAGATTTATAACATAAAATGTATATAATCCTATACAATAAAAGCATAGTATGCAAATTGTTCACTCGACCAGGAGTTCCTTTCGGAGTTCAACCAGGGGGCAGGGCCAGGGGAAGGAAGGGAGACCCCTGGTGGTGGCAGGCAGCCGGGGGAAGGGAGGAAGTACCCAGCTGGCAGCTGGCAGCCGCTAGGGACCCTGGGCCTCTAGTACAAAGAATATTTTTATGTAATGTGTATATGTAAATGATAGTTAATATCTGGATTGAGAGGTGTTAGGAGGTTAATGGAAACCCAGATATGGCAACTATCTACCCCTGGAGGCTGTATTGGGGAGGGTTCAACAAAGGAATATGCTTGCTTTGCTCAAAGCACTGCTATTCATTTCAGCCTTTCAGCAGCCCAATAAGGTTGTTGTTATTATTTCTATATCAAAAATGAGGATGTTGAGAGTTTAAATAATTTTTCCCATTTTAATTATTTATGTTTTAAATTAGAGTTGATGTACAATATTATATTAGTTTCAGGTGTACAACCCAATGATTAGACATTTATATAACTTACAAAGTGATCTCCCCAATAAATCTAGTACCCATCTGACATCATGCATACTTATTAGAATACTAGAGGCCCGGTGCACAAAAATTTGTGCACTCGGCGGGGAGGGGGGTCCCTCAGCCCGGCCTCTGCCCTCTCGCAGTCTGGGACCCCTCAGGAGATAACGACCTTCTGGCTTAGGCCTGCTCCCAGGTGGCAGAGGGCAGGCCCAATCCCTAGGTGCAGCCCCTGTTTGGGCTCAGAGCAGGGCCGATTGGGGAGTTGGGGCACCGCCCCCTGTCATGCACAGAGCAGGGCAGATTGGGAGGTTTTGATGCCACCCTCAGTCACGCTCAGGGTAGGGCCGATTGGGGGGTTGGGGCACCGCCCCCTGTCACACTCAAGGCAGGGTCGATGGGCTGGTTGCGAGCGCCACCACCTGTCACGCACAGAGCAGGGCCCATCAGGGGGGTTGGGGCTCTGTACCCTGTCATGCACAGAGCAGGGCCAGTCAGGGGGTTGGGGCGCTGCCCCATGTCACGCACAGAGCAGGGCCCATCATGGGGGTTGGGGAGCTCCCCCCCATCAGGCACAGAGCAGGGCTGATCAGGGGGTTGGGGTGCCTTCCCCTGTCACGAACAGAGCAGGTGGATAGGGAGGTTGTGGCCCCGCCCCCTGTCATACACAGAGCCGCAGGGCGGTCAGGGGGTTTGGGCGCTGCCCCCTGTCACTCTGATCCCGGTGCTGGGAGGCCTCGCGGCTCCGCTGATCCCGGTGCTGGGAGGCATATTACCCTTTTACTATATAGGATAGAGGCCTGGTGCATGGGTGGGGCTGGCTGGTTTGCCCTGAAGGGTGTCCTGGATCAGGGTGGGGGTCCCCACTGGGGTGCCTGGCCAGCCTGGGTGAGGGGATGATGGCTGTTTGCAGCTGGTCACACACCCTTCAGAGTGGGGGTCCCCACTGGGGTGCCTGGCTAGTCTGGGTGAAGGGCTGAGGGCTGTTTTCAGGCTGACTGAAGCTCCCAACTGCTCCTTTTTTTCTTTTTTCTTTTTTTTATTCTGGGCCAGCTTTAGCACTGGCTCCAGCTCTGAGGCCTCTCCTGCTGAAAGAAGGTATCTGGTTTGTTTGCGTTCTATAATCGAAACTCTGTATCAACTCCAGCTCTGAGATCCAGGGCTTGCTGAAAGCAGGTTTCTGGGGTTTTGTTTAGCTTCTATATTTGTTATAATGTTTCTTAAACTGCAAGCTCAGAGGCCGGCAAGGCAGGCGGGGAACGTTGGAGTCCTCCGTCACTGAAGCCTCATGTTAGTTTCAAGCTGTCCTGCTGCTGGCCGCCATCTTGGCTGGCAGTTAATTTGCATGTCTCTCTGATTAACCAATGGGAAGGGTAGCGGTCATACGCTAATTACCATGTTTCTCTTTTATTAGATAGGATTATTGACTATATTCTCTAGGCTGTACTTTACATCTCCATGATGTTGTTTATCTATCAATTTGTACTTCTTAACCCTTTCTCCTTTTTCATCCATCTATTTTATTTTACTTTATTTTTTATCAGAGATCATAAAAAGAGTGATTTTCAATTTTTATTATTCCTCTAATCATTAGCTGTGATTCTTTTGTAAAAAGTAATTTTCACTCATCAACTAAGGATACTTGGTTACCCTGAATGCAGTTTTAAAAAAATTATGGATAAATATTAAAATTTGCACTTTCATTAAAATGTTTATACTACCCAAAGCAATCTACAGATTAAATGCAATTCCTATCAAGATACCAGTGTTGTATTACACAGAACTAGAACAATTATTTCAAAATTTTGGGACCACAAAAGACCCCGAATAGCAACAGGGATCTTGAGAAAGAAGAACAAAATTGGAGGAATCATATCAAACTATACTACAAGGCCACAGTAATCAAAACAGCATGGTACTGGCATAAAAACAGACATATAGATCAATGGAATAGAATAGAGAGCCCAGAAATAAACCCTAGTAAACACTAATTCAGAAGAATATATGTACCTCTGTGTTCATTGCAGGTATTATTATTTCTATATCAAAAATGAGGATGCTGCCAAAACCGGTTTGGCTCAGTGGATAGAGCGTCGGCCTGCGGACTGAAAGGTCCCAGGTTCGATTCCGGTCAAGGGCATGTACCTGGGTTGCGGGCACATCCCCAGTGGGGGATGTGCAGGAGGCGGCTGGTCGATGTTTCTCTCTCATCGATGTTTCTGACTCTCTATCTCTCTCCCTTCCTCTCTGTAAAAAATCAATAAAATTTAAAAAAAAAAAAAAATGAGGATGCTGAGAGTTTAAATAATTTATAATAGTCAAGTGCCGGGGTCCAACCCCAGCAGGTCCAGGGGTTCCCAAAGGCGTAGACGGAGTCGGCGAAGAAGGAAGGACACGGAGACAGTGTTCAGTTGATCAGCAGCCTAGCCAGGATCTCCAGCCAGGATCTCCAGCCAAGTTCTGGTCTGGATCTCCAGAGAGGTTCTGCTTTTTATTGTCTTGTTACATCCGTATTTATACCAGTTGATTTTAATCCTGTCAATTTCTATTCCAAAGGTTAGGGCGTTTCTTATCTCCATTCCAGGGAGTAAAGATTATGTAGCTTAAGCATGATTGTTTGTAGTTAAAGTGATTAACTACCCGCCTGGCACTTAGTTAAGGAGTTTCATCCCCTCCCTAACTTCAGGGAAAAATCCCTACCTGGGGAAACAACCTTTCTCGGAGAGGTGACCTTGGTTAAAACACACAGCACTAAGGGGAGCAAACATATTAAGAACAGTATGCCATATACGCCAGGTCCCTTGAAACATATGCTGTGCAGATGTTTCTTTCCTGCAGCGACTGTGTCAAGCAGCAAGGATGGACCCGCTTCCGACAGTCAAGATTTGAAAGCAGCCCAAGTATCCATCATAGATGAATGGATAAAAAAGCTGTGGTACATTTATACAATGAAATACTACACTGCCATGAAAAGGAGGAAATTTTTACCCTTTGTGATGGCATGCATGCACTTGGAGAACATATGCTAAGTGAAATAAGCCAGTCAGAGAAAGACAAGTACCATATGATTTCACTCATATGTGGAATTTAATGAACAAACTGAACTACCAAGCAAAATAGAGAGAGACCCATAGTTAGAGAACAGGCAGACAGTTCCGGTTGTGTGTGTGGGGGGGGGTGGGTGGGTGTTGGGGTGATGGTGGAGGGATTGAGAGAGAAAGAAGAACTTATGGACATGGACAACAATGTGGTGATTGAGTCGGGAGAGGGATGGGTGGAGGTAGAAGAGAGCATAGAGAGGATAAATGGTGATGGAAAAAAATATGATAAATATAAATGAATAAATGAATGAATGAATGAATGAATGAATTTCGCACTTTCATTACCAATTTACAGAGTAATGAGTTGATATAATAGTCACATCCAGTAGTAGCAAATGAGGCATTATTTTTTCTCTTTTGTTTTTCTTTCATTTTTTAAAAGTATTATTATGGACTCATGAATTTTTACATATTGTATTTCAATCAGTTTGGTGCTGGATGAGACTGCTAGAGTTGTAGCAAGAAGCTAGACTAACAGTGGCTTATCCAAGTAGATATTTAGATGTGGGTGGCGGCAACATTGTTCCAGCTATTCAACAAGGATTCAGTCTTTCTTTCCACTCTGTCATCTTTAGTGTCCTCTTAACTTGTCATGTCATAGTCACAAGATAACTGTCGCACCCCTAGATATTATGTTCATATTCAAGGTGTGGAGATGGGGCTGTGCCAGGGGACAGCCAGAAGGCAGTGTTACAAAAACCTTTTCTAAAATTGTCAACAGAGCTGTCCTTATGTCTCATGGGCCACATGTGGGTCATAGTGTCACCCCAGTTGTCAGGAGGACTGTGAAAGCAAGTATGTAGCAAAAATGAGCAGAATTGTCAACATTGGCTTAGGCCAGTGGTCGGCAAACTGCGGCTCGCGAGCCACATGCGGCTCTTTGGCCCCTTGAGTCTGGCTCTTCCACAAAATATCGACTTCTGCGCATGGGCCACAAAGTTTCAATCGCACTGTACGTTTGCGCCCGCACGTGGTATTTTGTGGAAGAGCCACACTCAAAGAGCCGCATGTGGCTCGCCAGCTGCAGTTTGCCGACCACTGGCTTAGGCTATTCATGAGCCATTGCCTGGGGCAGTGCACATTTTCACCCCTGAAGAAAATTAGGTTTTTACTAATAAGAAACAATAGGGGATTAACTAGTTATTCTTGCTGTAATATTTTTGGTAAAGCATGGAATGACTCGAATTTTAAAAATAAGCCATGTGTATGTATTTAACTCAAAATTTTATATTAAAAGATTAAGATTTGGGGCTTGACTTAATGTTTCATGATTAGTTTCATTGTCCTATAAAATTCATTTTATTATTGAACAGATTTTGGTGTCCTTGAAATATTACCTAATATTACCCAATATGATGAGATCCCATACAACAAAAGGTTGAGGGTTCGATTTCAGGTAAGGGCACATACCTAGGTTTCAAGTTCAATCCCCGCTTTGGACGAGTATGGGAGGCAACCAATTGATGTTTCTCTCTCACATCGATGTTTCTCTCTCTCTTCCTCTCTCTCTTTTTCTTTCTCTCTCACCATCCCCACACCCTTCCTCTCTCTAAAAATCAATTGAGAAAAAAAGACCCCCACCATATCCTTAGGTGAGGATTTAAAAAAAAAGAAATTTGGAAGTTAATATAATCCTTTTCCCCCTCCATATTGATTTTTCCTTTGCTGTCTTCTCCGTTTTCTTAGGGTCTCTCTGTGTTATCACTTCTTTTCTATAGACCCTTCTTCTTCCAAACCATGTTCACTTTCTTAATTATCCTCCTCTTCCTTTTTTCTCTCTCCTTTTCTCCTAGCCTTACTACAGCTCTTCATTTTTTTCTGCTTCTCTTTAAAATGAACTAGAGTAAAGCTGATTTTTGGTTGATAAGATCATATTATGCTATTAAATATCCTGCTTAGTCTCTTAATTTCATTTGGGTTATGTACTGTTGACTGCTGATTGTTAACAGGTTCTGAAATAATCACATTAGGTTAGCTGAGAAGTACATATCAAGCATTAATAGCTTCATGTTCCTGAATCAGAAAAGCCACTGGTGAGCTCTGAATCGAAACCAAGGTAGCTAATATAATTCTTGCTTTTAAATTACATTATTTAATGTGATTCTTTCTTCTTTTACTACATGTAATCTCCCATGCAGCTTCATTAAGTTTTCAGTGTTTTAGGCCTGCCATGCATGTATCATATTGTGATGTATGCACACAGATATTATAGTCTTAAATATTTTGTCCTGAAATTTGCCCGTTATGTATAAGGTGTTGTGAGTTTATTAATACCACTCTTGATAAACAAAATATTTGGATTTTAAACTCCCTCAATTATTGTGCATCATTAGGGGCTGTGCTTTTTAATCTTAAAATTCACCTGAAAGTCAGCCTAATTTTATTTAATATATATTCTACTGAGAGTGGTTTAAAGAATTAACCTGCTTTTTGTTAAAAATCTGTATCCTTCTTATGCTTTCTTTTTCTTTTCTTTTTTTTTCTTTCTTTTTTTTTTAGCAGTAAGGATTATCTAAACTGTGAGAGATAACTGTTCTTTGAATTTTTGTTCAGTGACTTTGCATCTTTGTCACTATAACACCTCTGTCTTGGGGGAAGCCAAGTGGGGGACTGTTGATAATTTCTGCCTCTCCTTCCCCACGTCCCCCATCTTCTTTATTTGACTCTAGAGTTCCTTGTTGTTTGTTTTAATTGAATATGAAGTGGCAGCAAACTTTCAGAAAATATTGTACTATTTTGTTTTAGAAGTAATAAGTACATTATTTTGGAAGTAAAATTTCTTAATCTTTGCTTGTCTTTCCAGTTAAAATCAGTTGAAATCAACTCAGACTTTATATTAGTGCATAAAGCTTTGTAAACCAAGTCATTTTTGTGGAATGTTGCATGGACTATAACAACAGAATAGCATCAGCAAAATTTATATATTTGTCATTTTCCTTTCTTCAGCATGTATTTCTTTTCTTATATATGAAACCTAAAGAAAAATAATTTAACTGCTAAAGAAATATTTTGTTAGGAGAAAAAGTAAAATGTGATTGTTAGCGTTTGTGATACAAGGATTATACAATCCTTTCAGAATTCTTTTTTAATCCTCACCCAAGGATATATTTTTGTTTTCTTTTTAATTGATTTTAGAGAGAGAGGAAAGGAGAGGGAGAGAGAGAGAGCAACATCAATGTGAAAGAGAAACATCTATCGATTGCCTCCTGCACACACCTGACCTGGGACTGAACCCACAACCCAGGAATGTGCCCTGACCGGGAATCAACCCGTGATCCTTCAGAGCACGGACGATGCTCCAACCAACTGAGCCGTCCCAGCCAGGTCTCAGACTTTTAATATATCATCTACAGTGGAATCCTGGTCTTGTACATTTATGTAATTTTTGCATTTTATTTCCAGTTAAGTCAAATTCTACCTCTGCATTTCTAATTTCAGTGATGTTAAGCTCTTTAAAATCCTGTCAAACTTTTGACTTAATGCTGTATTTATGCTCATAAAGCTAATTTCATTTTAGCCTATAGCCTAGTAAATGCTAGAATATTGCTTGCTGTTTCTTGGATCAATCTTTACAGTAGTCTACAGATATATCTGTTCCATTAGCTCAGTGCCAGCTGTTGCTTTGGTTACAGTGTTCCTGTTTTGGCAAGCTTTTTTAGGGATCTTAAACAACTATGATTCTTTTCTGAGTATGTTCTTGTGGGATTTTATTTTCCTCTCTGTAATGTTACTAAGACCTTGAAAAAGAAAGAAAAATTACATCATATTTATTTCCAAACCAGGTGAAATAATTTTAGTTTAATAAATTAAGTGGTTGTGCCATCTTCTGAAATGCTTTTGAAGCAGAAGTCTATCTTGATCTACTGATGAAATTATCCTTTCTACTCTTATTACATGGTCTTCATTGCATTTTATATTACAATTTATGAAGCTGGATAATTTCCTGTAAGGTTAAATGATTTGTTGAAGGTCACAGTGACACTTTGTAGAAAAATTATTCTTAGAATATTGACTGCCTCACTTAAAGAGAAGACATTGTCTGGAAACATTGCTGCCTTTGCAGTAGAAGTAGATCTCTTTCTAGCATGGTATTTTTCAAATGTGTTTAGTCTGTCTGCTTTGAGATCTATTACAATTGTCAGAGAATATTTCCCATGTACAAAACTTGGTGTATCTGGAGATGTTTTAATGTCAGGTGTATCCTGATGAATTGTTGTTACTTCCAGACGGCTCTCTGCATAGGGATTGATGGTAAATTTTAAATACAATCTAACCAGTATAACAAACTTCTGATCTTATCCTTTAAAGGAGGAGGAAAAGCGAAAGTGTTGACCTAATATAAAGAATATTTAACTTCGTCATTTATGAAATAAATAATAACTAAACATAATATTTGTTCCAAATGCATTGTCTTTGTGCTTGTCTTTGATAATTGGAAAATATTGTGGTAACTGCTCAAGTACCTCTAAAAGTGGTATATTTATATATATATTTTTTTCTATTTATATATCCATTTCCACTCTACCCACCCCCCACCTTTTAAAAGAATCCAACCCAAGTCGGAACAGCTCTTCAGGTTTTCCATAATCTTGGAACTTTGAAGAATACCATTACCAGTGTCGTGGATGGATATTGTGCCTCTATAGAAGAAAGTATCAATACTGCGTTAGACATCAAAGTTTTGACTCAGCCTTCCCAGTCAGCAGTGAGAGGTAAGGATTTGATTTATATTTAACTTCTTTATTTATTTATAACCAAGAAGTCCTTTGAATAGTATATGAAATACTCAAGTTTCAAAGTAATTTAGTGACTCATTTTTTAGTAGACAGAAAATGAGAGAAATTATGTTTTAGAATTTATTTATAACATTTTTGTGTAATCAGTTTTGAGTTAAACTGGCCAATTGGTATATTCAGAACTTCTAGATAAAAATCTATAAACTGTGACTTCATTTAGTTCAGAGGAAGCAGATGCAAGAACAAAAAAGGAACATATTTTTTTCTCTAAAATCCCTATTCTCACATGTACTTCTTATTGAGACAGAAAATAGTTTTTTAAGGAAATGCCATCTCTACCTTTGCTTTTTGGGCTTTCCTTATGATAATTCTGGTATTCAGGAGCAATAATGGTGAAGATAGAAACTGAAAAAAAAAAACACAACTTTTGGGAACATTACAACTAGAACAAAATCTAAAGAAAACTAGAGATAGGGAGACTCAAGGTAGAGAGTAGTAGCACTACATTGCCCCTGATAATGACATTCATCTATATAACACACTTCATAGATAGGAAAGACTACATGTTACGTGTACCTCTCACTGATCTAAGTAACCCCAGCTCTGCATTTTTCTCCTTCTGTTCCTTCTTCTCTCCTATTAATATGGATGAACTGTCTGCTCCTAGCAAAGACCAAGTACTCCACTTTGTGTTAGATCCCATCATTCAAGGGCATTGCTTTAGATTTCTTCTCTCTGCCACTTCATCAGTTTTCCCTTATGTACATGTCTTTTCCATCATAAATAATCATGCTAGTGTATCTTCAGCTTAATGACCATCAAACAAATCTATCTTGATTCTGTTTCTTCAGCTTTACTACTCCATTTTATTTCCTCAGACTACAGAAAAGTTCCCCAAAGTGGTGTCTATATGTACTCTCTCCAGTTTTTCTTTTTCTATTGAAGAAGCTACTTAGAGTTGTCCTAAAGAATAACATGTAAAATTAATAACAGAGTTCTTGATACATGGCTAACAGTAAAAAATTGTTATTGGCAGCCATTATTATATTTGCTATAAACATAACCTCATAAATAATTACACTAGATACAAAGAGCTAAAAAAAATTTTATATCTTAAATGGGTTTTTGAAGGTTAGCACTAGCCTCTGAATAGACCTGTATTAAGACTATTTTAGGAGTGCTTTGAACAGAAATTGCCAAAGGAGATTTCACTCAGTTTTTCCCAGCAATTATTCTCAGAAAGGTTGATCTAATGTTTAAATTTTCAGGAGCAGTTTAATCTCAGTCCTTTTGTGTTATAAAAAAATAAGGGGGAAAAATAAAAGCAGTTATTCACATGCTGTCAATCCTAATGTACACCCTTTTGTTAAAAGAATAAAGAGTTTTAAACCCTTATTATCTTCTGTTAAAGAGTGAATACTGTGATTTAATGTAGAAACCTTAAGCATCAATTCTTTATATTTTTAAAAAGAATAATCACTTTTATTTTTAAAAATGTTACATTGGCAATATTAATGTTAATTCCCTGATCTTGTTTCTGATATTAATATTATGTAGTAGAATGTTCTTGGGCTTTGGAAATGCATTGCATTAAAGCATTGCATTCAAAGGTGTTGGGCATCATGTCAATATGTTATTCACAAATGATTCAGGGAAAACAACTTTCTTTTTACTATGTTTTCTAAATTTTCTGTATGTTTTAAGATGGTTTTCAAAATTAAATATAACATTAATACAACTTAAGGGGAAAATGTTACCTGTGAGATATTGAGAAGTTTATAATTTAATACGAGTAAGATAAACAACTCAAATGGAAAAACAGATAAAGATTATGAATAGGCAATTTAAAGAAGAACATATCTAATAGATGTGATAGATGTAAAAAATGTTCAGTCTCTTTCTGGAGGATGAAATAATTATTGGGGAAATGCAAATTAAATAAGATACTATTTCTCAGTCGTGAGATTGGCGAAATCTAAGAACTAACTGTTGGATGAGATCACAAACTCTTGTACTCTAATTGTAGGAGAATGAAATGGTTCAACCACTTTACTCAGTTGTATCAAATTGATCTGTAAGGTTTAAAATTTCTATACCATATGATTTTATTGTTTCTCTTAAAGATCATACCCTAGAGAAACTAGGGTATATATGTTTAAGGATTTATTTTTATTTTTTATTTTTATTTATTGATTTTAGAGAGAGAGGAAGGTGGGAGGGAGAGAGAGTGAGAGAGAAAAATATTGATTTGTTGTTCCACTTGTTTATGCATTCATTGGTTGATTCTTGTATGTGCCCTGACTGGGGATTGAACCTGCAACCTTGGTATATCAGGATCATGCTCTAACCAACTGAGCCACCCAGTCTGGGCCAAGAATTTTTATTACGCTATTGTGAATAACAATAGTGAAACAGTGAAAACAACTTTCCTTCAATAGAAAAATGAATAAACTGGTTTATTTATTAAGTAGACTACTATGTGATATGTAAGCCAATAAATTTCCAAATATAGATAATACTCAAAACCATTACGTAAAGAGCAAGTTACAGGAAGAGATATATAGTATGAAGATATTTCAAGCTTAAGAACATAATAGACTATGCTATCTATACATTGTTTTATATATGTAAATCTTATATAATAAAAGGCTAATATGCAAATCGATCAAATGGTGAAACCACCGGTCGTTATGATGCGCACTGACCACCAGGGGGCAGATGCTCAATGCAGGAGCTGCCTCCTGGTGGTCAGTGCACTCCCACAGGGGGAGTGCTGCTTAGCCAGAAGCCCTGAGCTAGGCTCATGGCTCGCACAGCAGTGGCGGCGGGAGCCTCTCCCACCTCTGTGGCAGCGCTAAGCTGGCAGTTGGACACCCCTGAATATCATGCACCGGGCCTCTAGTATGTAGTAAAAGTATAAATATATGCTTTGTAATAATTCAAATTCAAATTCAAAATAGCATTAGCTCTGGGGAGAGAGCAGGGAAAATGGGATCAGCAAGGGAGGGGTATACAGGGAACTTTATTCATTCCTTTTTAATCTTTAACATTTTATTTTTTAAGACTTAATTTTTTTAGAGTAGTTTTAAGTCAGAGCAAAATTAAGAAGAAGGTAGCAGAGATTTCCCATATACCACTGTCTTTATACTAGTACATGCATAGCCTTCCCTGTTATCAACATCCCTCACTAGGATGGTCCATTTGTTACCAAGGATGAAATAATATTGACACATCAAAATTACCCAAACTTTATAGTTTACATTAGGGTATACTCATGATAGTGTACATTCTATGAGTTTGGACAAATGTATAATGTCATATCTCCATTATACTGGTAATGTCATAGAATATTTCACTGCCCTAAGAAACCCTTTGTTCATCTCAACCACTCTCATCCCTGGTAACCACTGATCTTTTTATTGTTTCCATAGTTTTGCCTTTCCCAGAATGTCATATAGTTGGAATTATATAATATATAGTATACAGCCATTTCAGATTGGCTTCTTCCACTTAGTAATATACATTTAAGATTCTTTCATGTCTAGTCATGGCTTGATAGCTCTTTTTTTGGTTTGTTTGTTTTTAGTGCTGATGAATATTTCATTGTAAGAAGGTACCAACATGTCCATCCACCTACTGAAGGACATCTTGTTTGCTTCCAAGTTTTGGCTGCCTCCTGCACGCCCCCTACTGGGCATGGAGCCAGCAACTTGGTCATGTGCCCTGACCTGGAATCGAAATGCGACTTCTTGGTTCATTGCTTACTGCTCAACCATTGAGCCATGTGGGCTGAGCAGGGAAATGCTTAGTCATTGTTATATCAAATATTTCTTCTTTTCTTTCTTTCTTCTGGTATTTTACACCATTTGTAGTTGTCCCACTGTCCTTGGTTGTTTTGGTCTGTGTGTTTTTTTCAGTGTTTATTCTCTTTCCTTTAGTTTTTGAGGATTTTATTGCTATATCCTCACCTCAAAGATTCTTTCCTCAGCTGTCTCTATTCTACCAATAAGCCCATCAAAGACATGCTTCATTTCTGTTACAATGTATTTTATCTCTAGCATTTCTTAGCATTTTCATCTGCTTGCTTAAATTGCTCATCTGTTCTTGCATGCTGTCTACTTTGCCCGTTAGAGCCCTTAGCTTATTCATGCTTGGTCTGATAATTCCAGCATCCCTGCCATGACTGGTTCTGATGCTTGCTCTGTTTCTTCAGATTGTGTTTTTTGCCTTTTAAAATGCCTTGTAATTTTTTCTTGCTAAAAGGAATTGCTGTAAATAGGCCTTTAACGTGGTGGTAAGATATGTGGGGAGGGAAAGCATTCTATAGAGCTATTATTAGGCCCCATTCTTTTAGTGAGCCTATCCCTTTCTTCTGCGAACTTCACAAGAGCTTACATACATTATTTTCTCCTTTGGGTGGGCTGGAGTTGGGTATTACGGTGGGTATTACGGTTCCCCAGGTCAGTTAGTCTCTGGTAATATTCCGGCAGATAAGGCTTTGGTTAATTCGTTTCTCTTGAGAGCAGGCCTTGTTAAGGACAGAGTGCTCTGGCACATTTCAAAATGATTCTTTTTCCTTTCCTCCTCTGGAAGCATAAGGGGATTTTTCTCCACTATTTACTGTGGTAACCTACTCAGGCTCCTGAAGGTAAACCTCAATACTGTAGGGTCCCTCTGGAGTTTATAACTCAGAATTGTCCACACTGAGCCTCTAGCAATTCACCAACTACCATTCTGGTTTTCCTGCCATGGTCCTGGTTCCCTCAGCAGTTTCTGCTAGGGAGGCTCAGCTTTGGTAAGCAGCAACTCCCTGCATTTGCTTATAGGCCTTCCTAATTTGGGGGACAGTGGTTTGCCATATGTCTTCCCCTCTCTTATGGGTCCAAGGAGAGTTGTTGCTTTTTCAGTGAGTTCAGCTTTTTCTTTGTTGTTAGGACAGAGTGGTACTTCCAGGCTCCTTACATGTGGAACCAGAAATGGAATTGCCAATCAGATTTTTACGGCTCACATAGCTCACTTATTTTTTCTTTGATGTCTGAACGGTTCTTTCTTTACCTTTAATGTTCAGTCATTTTTTTAGGATATATTTTGAGATTGAATGTTATATCTATTTTTTCTGAGTTTGAATATTTTCTCTTATAGAAAAGCCTACCTCAGTTGTACATTTCATATTGTTTTTCTTTTTAGGAACTTTATGTACATAGCATATCTTATTTTCCATTTTTAGTATTTTCTTAATTATATTTTATATCTTTGTATTTTATTTAATTTTATATGGTTTCCTCCTGCCTATTTCCCATGTCTGATTGTGTTTTCACCCTTGATCTTTATTAATTTTTTTTCTAATGTGGTCTTAACCTTTGTTCTATAGTCATACTGAGAATGTTTTCTCTAATTACTTTGAGACAGTGGAAAATTAAGTAACCCTTCCTGTTGTTTCCTTTGGAGGTTTGTTTTGGTGGGTTTTTTTTGTAACCTATGTTTATCATCACTTTTTCCTTTATTTATTTCCTCTACCCTTTTCCACCCCAATATATGTGTTAGGTTTCATTTCACTTTGTTTCTAATTACTGTTCATCCTTGGAAGGCACTGCTTGTTCCTTGAAGAATAGTATGGGAATGGTTGTAGGAAGAGACCTGGGACAGTTCATAACTTTGAATTAGGTTTGTTGTCCAGTATTAACCAGTAAAAATTTGAGGCTGTAAAACAAATGAAAAGTGTATTTGGGGTGGTAAAGGATTTGAACCCCAGAGATGCAGGCTTAGGTGGCAATCCAAACTGTGCTCTGGAGAGAACAAAGAAAGGCGTTTATCCCTCTTATAAAGACAACCGCCACAAAACATAATTCATGCAGATGAAGGGTTGATGGCTAGGTTAAAGGGAATTGGTTAGTTTCAATATGCAAAAAGGGAGGCAAAAACTGCAAGGAAGGAAGTAAAATTCATATACAGCAGTGATTTTCAACTTTTTCATCTCATAACACACATAAACTAGTTACCAAAAATTCTGTGGCACACACAAATTATATTTTTTGCTGTTCTCACAAAAAACGGTATAATTTTGATTCGTTCACACCAGATGGCTTTTGTGTTGGCTGTCGTCATATTTTTATTGGACAGTCTAAGGGAAATGAGGTCCATGGCCCTGACTAAATAGTGTGGTCATTGCACATCTTAAAAAGTCTCTCGGCACACCAGCATGCCTCTTGCTGCACACAGTTGAGAATCCCTGATATAAGGTCCTAGGGCAGTTATTTCAGGATGTTTATGACTCCATCTTGAGCTGAGTTTAGCAAAATGTTTAGCAACTTACCAGCACAAGTACTAGTACTTTTTAAGTACTGAAGCACAAGATGTGCATAGGCCCCACTTCCTTAATAGCCTCCTGACTATTTTTTAAAATATATTTTTATTGATTTCAGAGAGGAAGGGAGAGGGAGAGATAGAAATATCAATGATGAGAATCACTGATCGACTGTTTCCTGCACATCTTACAATGGGGATCTAGCCCTCAACCCAGGCATATGCCCTGACCAGGAATCAAACTGTGACCTCCTGGTTCATAGGTTGACACTCAACCACTGAACCATGCCAGCCATTCTCCTGACTCTATTTTTAAAATTACTCTCTTAGCAATAATACATCAATTTTTATTTATTTCTACCTTGGTAATACTTCTTTTCTCAAATTTTTGTCTATTCTGGAACTTAGTATGAATCCCAGGAAAAGCCTTTAAGCAATTTTTGTATGGAAATCTCATATTCTCTGCTTTTCTTTCCTTTTTTATTTTTTATTTTTTAATTCTCACTCAAGGATATTTTTCCCTTAATTTTTAGAGAGAGTGGAAGGAAGGGGTAGAGACAGTGAGAGAGAAACATCAATGTGAGAGAAACATATCGGTTGGTTGCCTCCCCCCACATCAAGCCAGGGATCAAGCCTACAACTGAGGTAGGTGCCCTTGATAGGAATTGAACCCAGGTCCCTTCAGTCTGCCGGCCGATGCTCTATCCACTGAGCCAAACTGGCTAGGGCTTCTTTCTTTTTTCGCCTCATTTTACCTCTAATAGTCTCCCCAAGCTAGAGAGCTAATTCTTATACAATGTCATTTTCATTTTATTATACTAATTTCTCTTTCAGCTTTTCCTTCTTTGCCACTCTGCATGAACACATTACTAACTTCTTCCCTAGACCATCCATGTCTATCCATCTCAACTCTAAGCAAAGAATCATTGGATTCAAAATTCTTACAGTTGATTTTGAGAACAATTTGTTCTTTGTTAATGGCCTCAGATGTCAGCCATCTGGTCCCTTGCTCATTGTGATTTACCTACAGCATTTGGGATACATGCTTCATAATCTCACTGTTGAAGTTTTAATTTGTTGTTGGTTTTTTGTTTTGTTTTTTAAGTTGACGTTTTGCTATACTTTGTGTTCTTATTTTCGTTTTCTTTCAAGGGATGAGAGTAGGAAAATGATTTTATTCCACTATAACTGGAAATTACTCTTACGTGTTGTTTCTTTGAGAAATTCTCAGTTTCTCCTACCACTTTAATAAAACTTAGTTTATGACATTATTTATTTTGTTTCATGAGTCCCCCCAAGCTAACTAATAATGACTTCTGTTTTGGTCTATTTATTCTTTCTTCTTTTACATGGCTGTCTATGTTCATTGATTATTTCTATCATATTTATATCTTCAACGAGAAGTATTTAGTTTATGAGAATAAAAATCTTTAGGTACGAAGTTATTATAAGTAAGAAAAATAAAGTCTCCAAAAGTAATCAGGCCTGTGACTGTGATCTTGTTTTTCTGTATCTGTTTCTCCAAAGTAAATATGAGCAGAAAATAGTATCATCTTGTATTTCTGCTGGTATTTATTTTGAGAGTAATGAGTTGATGCATCCCATATTTCTTTATAATAAAACCAAGTTGTACATAGTCCAGGAATTTGATTAGTAGTTTTCATTTTCACAAAGATACTATCTAGCCTTTCCTCACTATTACAAGTTTATATTCTATATAACATGAGACAGATTGTTTCAGTATTATCTCTCTATTCCTTTTATGTTTTTCCTTAATATTCTTTGCAAAACAGTGCAAATGATTTTAAAGATTAATTAGACCTAGATTTCAAACTGGAATTATGTTTTTAAGCAATATCTCTTTTCTACATGTTTCTCTTTTTTATTACTTTTCAATGATCAGAGTAGAAATTATCAAAGCATATCCTTACTAAAGGTACATGTAATTCTTTTCTAAACAGAATTGTTTAAAAGCTAAAGTAAACAATTTTGTTTTGTTTTTCCCTCCATAAATGTAGGATAGACTAATCGTTGATGAGCTCTTGTTTTTTAAGCTTAGTTTGGATTGAAGTTTATACTTTTTCAATTGGAGACTAAAATTACTTCTTTTTATGTTGAAACATTTTAAGCCTGTACAATTAGTTGTGTGTGTGTGTAGTACATACAGTAACATTCTTAGATATCAATCTCAAGAAATTTAACAGATACATTAATATTATTTAATATGTAATTTATATTCAACATTTTTCAGTTGTTCTCAAAAATATTTTTATAATTATCTTCCCACCAACTTGAACCATTGAGGCATTATGCTTTTCTATTGGTTATCTTGTCTGTTTAACTCTCTTTTAATCAGAAACAACTTCACTGCCTTTTTTGTCCTTTATGGTATTAACATGTTTGGAGAGCCCCACAATCTGGATTTGTCTGGATTTAACTGACTGTTTCTTCATGATTACATTTAGGGTAAACAAACTGGTAAGGTGGTGATGTGTATTCCCCATTACATCATATCAGGAAGCACCAAAATTATGTTAGTCTCTCTCATAATTGCTGATGCTAAATGAAATCACTTTGTTACTGTGGTATATGCCAGATTGTTCCTTGCAGAAATACTCTTTTCTTTGTAATTAGTAAGTAATTGTGGCACATACTTTGAGACCATGTGAATATCCTGTTTCCTGTAACATTTCTCCTGATGTTTTTGTATCCGATAATCTTTATCTCAATTAATTACTTTCCTAGTAGTTTCAAAATGGCAATTTTTTTCTAATTCTGTCATTTCATCTGCATTTATTACCTGACACTCTTCTGTAAACAGCACTTCCTATCCTTTTAAGCTTGATTTTTCACTATGAACTCATGAATTATAAATCAGTTTTCTTATAATCCATTATGATGAGTATTACTTTGTTTCTCTTATTTATGCATTCATTGGTTGATTCTTGTATATGTCCTGACCACGGATTGAACCTGCAACCTTGACGTATCGGAATGATGCTCCAACCAGTTGAGCTACGTGGCTGTGTATGCTTTTTATAATAATATATAGTTGTTATAATAAGAAAATTTTATTTTTTTATATTTCTTTGTCATTCATATAAACAGGGGGACCCGGACGATCTACCATGCCAACTCCAGGAAACACTGCAGCTTTTCGTGCTTCCCTCTGGACCAACATGGAGAAACTAGTGGATCATATTTGTACTGTTTGTGGACAGGTAAGTATTTTTGAGAGTGAAAAGAACATTAATGATGTATTAACTCCTGCTTGTTTCAAGTTCTGTGACCTTGGGAAGGTTTCTGTGAATCTCTGGGTATTCAAAATAACTACATTAGCTAATTATCATGTACGGATAGGCTCTGCCAAAATGCCATTTCCCTTCCCTTGCTTTTTCTGGTTTCTACTCTGCATACTTGTTTCATTTGAAAATACATAATTATATACATTTTCCTCTCTTCCCCTTTTTAGGTACAACATCTACAAAAAATATTAGCCAAGAAGAGAGATCCTGTTTCTCACATTTGTTTCATTGACGAAATAGTTAAGGTATGTTTAAATGAAAACATGTTTGTCTCTTTATTGAAAACTGCAAAGAGATAACGAGTTAGTGTTATCTGTGTTTATACCTTACAGAGAGGATACATGACAAATAGCTATAGGAAAATAAGTATATTTCTTGACAACCACAAATTTTTACTTTGCAGTATATGTTTAAACAGGTTTGTTTATTGAGTAGTTTCTAGAAGCAATTCTCTTTAATTTTTGAAATGCATATAGTAATTTCCCTTGTTTTATGTAAATAATTCATTGTAAATGTCCTTTAAAGTTCCACTAAAGAATAAGATGAAACTTTTTGGTAAATAAGAGATTTAATTAGTGGTTATTAATAGTGTCTTATAAAATCTCCACTAAATATAGTTGGATCCGCCCTAACCGGTTTGGCTCAGTGGATAGAGCGTCGGCCTGCGGACTCAAGGGTCCCAGGTTCGATTCTGGTCAAGGGCATGTACCTTGGTTGTGGGCATATCCCCAGTAGGGAATGTGCAGGAGGCAGCTGATCGATGTTTCTCTCTCTCTCATCAATGTTTCTAACTCTCTATCCCTCTCCCTTCCTCTCTGTAAAAAATCAATAAAATATATATATAAAAAAATAAAGATAGTAGGATCCATTCAGTTGCTAATTTTTCATAAATAACACATTACTATATTCATTTTCCACATTCTGAAATCACTCTCCTATCATCCACTGATCTGCTGGCTGGATGAGCAGTAAGAATTCTTTCTGGGTATGGGAAACCCTGACTACATTTTATTCATTCTTTTTGATACGTTTTTGATAATGATTAATAGAATAACTGATTATTCACCATTAAATATTAATACCTGGGGCTCTAAAGAAAAAAATTCTCTAAGGTTCCAGTGTCATGGTTTCCTTGTAGTTTCCATGTAGTTTCCTTCGTAGTTTAAAATTTTAAATATTTTATATATCATGTTGGGGATTTCCAAAACTACCTTCAAGTTTGGTGATGCATTAGGAGCATTCGCAGCACTCAGCATATAGTCATGCTTGTGGCTGTGATTTATTATAGCGCAAGTATATGGAGCAAAATTAGCAAAGGGAAATGTGCATATGGTGAAGTCTGGAGGAAACCAGGTGCAAGCTTCCTAGAGTCCTCTCCCCTTAGAGTTACACAGGACACCTTCATTTCTCTGCCAATGAGTTGGGACATCAAACATGAAATGTCTTCCAGGGAAGCTCATTTTGAGCCTAGAAGACCAGGGTTTTCATCAGAGGTCAGGGCCTAGCACGTACCAAAACTCTAGATTTCCCAAAGGAAAGCAGGTGTTCAGCACACATTATTTGTACAAGCAGTTTATATGCAGTCAGCACTCCTGTCAGTTAGAGAATCATGAGGATCCTCTCAAAATCCAAGATACCAGGTAAGGACCTGTCTTGTAAGCAGGCATTTTTAACTACAGCAGTCTCAGACCTACTCTGTTAACTTTTTTCTGCACATATATATTATATACCTACTTAAATTATCCTGCTTCATATTTGGCTTTTAATCATGTGAAAGAAACAATAAGATGCTTTTGCCAATTGGTATAGTTATTAGTTTTTTACATTTCCTAGTAGATGGGATAACTAATATCGGGTCTTCATTATTATAAGCAAACAACTGCACATGTAGTGTTATCATTCATTTCTTCTTATTTTGGGCATCTTTCTACCCAAATTAATTTAGTCTTTAAATGGAGTGGCTTGGTTTCAAGCTTTTACTATCTAATCTTTTGTATATGTTTTGTTTCTTTTTAATAGTTTACTTAATATTCTGCTAACAACATTAGAACAATTATAATGAACCCATTATACCCAAGAGAGTCTAAAAAATAAAAAAGGAATAGTGCCATTTAAAGAGGCTTATGTTTGTGATGTTATTGCATTGAGCAAAGTTTCAACATTAAAAGCGTATCAGCCTGGCCAGAGTGGCTCAGTGGTTGAGTGTTGACCTGTGAACTAGGAATCTCAGCCCAGGTTGCGGGCTCAATCCCATGTAGGATGTGTAAGAGGCAGCCAATCAATGATTCTCTTTCATCATTGATGTTTCTCTCTCCCCCTCTCCCTTCCTCTCTGAAATTAATAAAAATATATATTTAAAAAAACTCGTATCACTTCCCATCAATATTCAGTTATTATAGTGAATGGGCATTGGCAGCTTATGTGGATCAGGTTTTAAATGCCTGTGTATTATTATCGATTAAAAAGGATTATTAGGGCCCTAACTGTTTGGCTCAGTGGATAGAATGTCGGCCTGCGGACTCAAGGATCCCAGGTTCGATTCCGGTCAAGGGCATATACCTTGGTTGTGGGCACCTACCCAGTAGGGAGTGTGCAGGAGCCAGCTGATCGATGTTTCTCTCTCATTGATGTTTCTAACTCTCTATCCCTTCCCTTCCTCTCTGTAAAAAATCAATAAAATATATTTTTAAAATATTATTAGGAATAGGGATATATGATTTCATCTTGATATATAGATATTAATTGTGCTATTAGGAACACATCAAGGTGTGAAGAGGGCATAAGTGGGTTGAGTATAAAATAGAACAACTAATTATATTGGATATACTAAATCTTAGGAACATAGTTTAAATGTGGAACCTTTTCAAAGCTTTTCCTTAGTTAAGATAACTAATTTTGCTTCTGCTTAATTTAATAAATTCCCTGTAAATTTATAAAATTAGCTTATTATTTTCAGTTCATACTATAGTTTGAAAAGACATATTCATACCTATTAATCAGATTATTTATGGCATTTAAGTGTGTAATATACTTTTTTCCTCTTCTATATTTTATGTTCTTTCTTTTCTTTTATGTAGTCATTTTTATTTACAAAGGAAACTCTGGGAATTTAAAATTAACACACTTGCCCATGAGCTTCTTATAGACACCAGAAAAGGTTTCAACCTTGTATTCCACATTGTTCTCCTGAGCTTTATCCAAATGAACCTTTATGAGCCAGCTGCCGTCCAGTTTCATGTGGATTTTCTCACCCACAATTTCCCTTGGCTAAACCAAGACCCCAGGATGGTATTGTGCACGGTTGTTAGGGTCCGGTTCCTGGGACTCTCTTGCTTATTCTTTGTCCGGCTTTGTTGAGTTGACTTAGGCAGAATGATAAAGACAATGTGCTTCCCACTTAACTTCTCCAACTTGCATACCAGCTGAACTTGTATTTTCTGGAAAGACTTCAGTTGAGGGACTAGAACAAAGATTATTATAGCTTTCCAACAGCCACCAATTTCAGTTTCCTTGGTCGTTGTTATTGGTTCGGTTCAGCTCCAGTAGCTGGGCCTTGAAGTCTGAGTTCATCTCCAGCCCCAGCAGAGCCTGGGAGATGCTGGACTCGAACTCGTCTGGCTTCTCACCATTGGGCTTCACGATCTTGGCACTCAAGCTGAACATGACCTTCTCCTTGGTGAACGCCCACCTGAGACAAGCTCTGTACTGTATTTTCTATAGTTTACTTGAATGAGTAATTTCATTTTAAATTGGAATTTTAGACTTTATTTTTTACATATCAAAAGTCTAATTTTAGTATCTTTTAAAACAAGTTGAGTTATAGTATTACTATATAATCATCAATATTATTTAACATTTTGTGAAAGTGAATGAAGCAAATTATTGACAAATTATTCAGGATCCACATAGTCAAAAACAGGTTTTAGAGTCTCATCTATGGAATTAAGCCAGTTTAGCTGTATGTGGGAGTGTAGATATGATACTTTCATTTTCTAAGCCAGCAATTTTTATCATTGAACAGAATCTTGTAATCATGTGTGTAGGATGTATTAGGCTAAATTTGGGATGTGTTCAGCATTTTGAGTAGCTATAGTACTAATAAGAATTTTAACTATGAAAACTAATGTGTGTTTTTTCTTTTTTAGACATAGCAAATGATTTCATTATAGCATTCGAAACTGAGCAAAATTTTAGGACACCCAAATGTGAAATCTTTTTAATTTTATGAGAAAAAAACAATTTACCTGTGCCATCTCAATTTGATTTAAAAAATCAAGTAGCGCCTTAGCCTGATGGGTCTCGGGTTCAATTCTGGTCAAGGGCGCGTGCCAGGGTGGCAGGCTCAGTCCCCAGTAGGGGGCATGCAGGAGGCAGCCGATCGATGATTCTCTCTCATCATTGATGTTTCTATCTCTCCCTCTCCCTTCCTCTCTGAAATAAAATATATACATATATATATATATGTATATATATAAATCAAGTAGCAATAGTCAATTAAGTATTTAAGTCAGATATTATCCACAAAGATTTTTAATCTGCAAAGGTTAGATTTATGTTTTTACTTGTATAGGAACCAGATATTCTTAAGGGCCCTCTCACTGTGGTATGCACAAATTCTAGATAAATTAGAAAAGCATCATTTTGAATGTACTGTTGGGCCTGCAAAAAGTAAGAGGATCTCTGAGGGACATATATACATATACACATACACATACACATATACATATACATATGTATATACATATACACATACACATACACATATACATATACATATATATACACATAAACAGATAAAGTGGTTGAAATTTTAGTGGAGATTTGTGAGGTATGTCATTACAAAACCTGGATTGTCCCAGGATCAAATGTTCATTTCAATGATAGGATCAGTCCAGTAGGTCTCTGGGGCTCTGGAAGCATAGAAGAATGCCCTGGCTGGTGTGGCTCAGTCGATTGGAGTGTCATCTAGCACACCAGAAGGTTGCAGGTTTGATTCTTGGTAAGGGCATATACCGAGATTGTGGGTTTGATCCTGGTGGGGGCACATATGAGAGGCAGCAGATCAATGTTTCTCACCTTGATGTATCTCTCTCTCTTTCTCTCTCTCTCCCCCCCCACCCTTCCTTCCTACGTCTCCCCCCCTCTCTCTTTCAAGTCAGTAAACACATCCTCAGGTGAGGATAAACAAACAAAAAAATAAATATAAAAAGAAAGAAAAATAAACCAGATAGTCTTGCACAAAGCTGATACCTATGACATGGCTAACATGGTCCTCAGTAACAGTATTTCCCTCGTCTGTGGAGGGAAGCATTTCTAGTTTAGCCATCAGGATTCTCCATGTATTAAGGTCAGCCAGATATGAGCTCATAGTAAAAAATCACCTAGCCTATAAATAAAGTAGAAATATGACTGAGAGTCAGAAGGAAAAACAAAGACAATGCAAGACAGATTTTAGATTCCTAAAGAACTTTTATAGTATAGACTTCAGAGTTTAGAATGATCTGCTGAAAACTTAAAATGTTTCTACCTGATATATTTTAGAAATAAAAAAATGGAATAAAAATGAGAAACAAAGTATTATTTCGAAAGACCATTTAGATAAAAAAGGTCCGAAACCGGTTTGGCTCAGTGGATAGAGCGTCGGCCTACGGACTGAAAGGTCCCAGGTTCGATTCCGGTCAAGGGCATGTACCTGGGTTGTGGGCACATCCCCAGTAGGAGATGTGCAGGAGGCAGCTGATCGATGTTTCTCTCTCATCGATGTTTCTAACTCTCTATCTCTCTCCCTTCCTCTCTGTAAAAAATCAATAAAATATATTTAAAAAAAAGGAACCAAATAGAACATTTAGAAATTAAAAATGAAATTATCAAAATAAAAAATTTAGCAGATGCATTAAACAGATATTACATAAAGCCAAAGAATGAATTAGCGGCCAAGCAGATAGAATTTATTAAACTATCCAGAAAATAGCATGAAGACATGGGCATGGAAAATAAGAGAGAGTAAAATATGTGGAGGATTAATTGCTGTTTTAGTATAAAACTAATTGGAAAAGGAAAGCCAACAAACAAAGAAAGAAAACCATATCATCTCAATATATGCAGGAAAAGCACTTGATAAAAATCTAACATTCATTCCTGATAAGAACTTTCAGCAAAGTAGAAATAGAAAGGAGCTTTCTCAACCTGCCAAAAGGCATTTATGAACTATGAAATGGTAAAATCATGCATCATGGAGAAGACTGAGTGCTTCACTCTAAAATAATATTGGAAGCCCCATATTTAATTATATCACCCAGAGGTAACATTTTTAAATTCACATTTGGAGATAGGTCTTCAAAAAAGTAAATTAAAATGGGGTCATTAGGGTGGACCTTAATCCAATATGACTGGGACCTTAATCCGTATAACTTCTTAATACGTACAAGAAGAGGAAATCTGAAACATATAGAAGGAAGACAATGTGAATACACAGGGAGTAGACAGTTATGGACACTTGTATACAAGGCTTTGGATGGAAATAAATATATCCATTTATTTCTTCTCTGGATTAGTGCCTAGGAGTCTATTGCTTAGTCATATGGTACGTGAATGTTTAACTTTTTAAGAAACTGTCAAACGGTCTTCCAAAATGTTTGAACAATTTTACATTTCCCATCAGCAGTATATAAGAGTTACAGTTGCTCTATATCCTCACCAACACCAGCACTTGGTATGGTGAGTTCTTTTAAATTGGGTTTATTTCATATCTGTCTATGAAGTGTCTATTCAAATTTTTAGCCTATTTTTAAAACTTGGTTATCTGTTTTCTTAATGAGTTTTGAGAGTTTTTTAGACGTAAGTCCTTTATTAGATATGTGATTTGCAAATATTTTCGCCAGTCTAGGCCTTGTCTTATATTCTCTTATTGGAGTATTTTAGAAAGCAGAAATTTTTAATTTTTAGTTAGTCCTATATATCAAAATTTTTTTCTTTTATGAAAAGAGCTTTTGGTGTTGCATCTATGAAATCTTTGCTTATTCCATGGTCACAAAGTTTTATTGTTTTCTTCTATAAGTCTTAGAATTTCAGGCTTAACATTTGGGTATTCAAATGGTTCAGCACTACTTGTTAAAAAGACTATTATGTCACCACTGAATATATGCCTGAGTATATTTTTGGACTCCATTCTGCACCAACGATCTAAGTCTTTAACTTTTCGCTAACCCCACACTTCCTTAAATACTATAGTTTTATAAAAAGTCTTGTAATCGGATATTGTTAGCTCTCTAGTTTTGCTTTTCTTTTTCAAAGTTGTGTTGGGCTTCCCAGGCTCTTTGTATTTCTATTTGACTTTTGGAATCAGCCTGTCAATTTCTCCAAAACACCTATTGAGATTATAGATCAATTTGGGAAGAATGGACATCTTAACAATAATGAATCTATCTACCCACAAGTAAGATACCTCTACTTATTTAGATCTTCTTTACTTTCTCTCAATAATATAGTTTTCAGATGTTGTTCATCTTTTAACAGATTTATTCGTATTTCTTATTCTTTGATGTTACTGTATATGGACTTATTAAATTTCAATTCTCAATTACACATTACTAATTATATGTAAAAGTACAACAGGTTTTTGTATATTGATCTTGTATTCTGTAATCTTGCAAAATATCACTTATTAGTTCAGGTCACTTTCTTGTAGATTCCATCAAATTATTTACATAGATGATCAATTCATCTATAAATAAAGACCATTTTCCCTTTTCCCTTTCCAAACTGAAGTCTTTTTCTTATTTGTTGTACTAGGTGGAAGCCATTTTCTTGTTCATTGAATATTAATAGAATTAATGAGAGCCGAAAGAAATCATTGCTTTCTCCCTAATTTTAGGGGTGAAGCCCTCAGTCTTCTCCATGATGCATGATTTTTTCATTTCATTGTTCATAAATGCCTTTTAGCAGGTTGAGAAAGCTCCTTTCTATTCCTAGTTTGCTGAAAGTTTTTATCAGGAATGGATGTTGGATTTTTTAAAAAGTACTTGGTAAAATTTCTGGAAGTGTGATTCTGTTTTAACAATCTCAAAGTACTTTGTCTTGATTTAACAAATGATATTTGAACTAATATTATCTCTTTTTAGTAGTTACTTTCTAAAACATGTACCCCAAGTTGAATGAAAAAATATTGTGCTCAGCTAAGTAGTAGTCATTCCAGTCTTAAAGCAAACAAAACAAAACTGTATCTATGTTTCAGGCCGTTCTCTTTTGTAATTGGCGAATTATATCCGATGGTTCTTCTTAGTCTGAGCCTGCTTTGTCCATCATTTTGTTATGGTCACAGAAGTTCCTTTTTTATTTCAAAAGGTGATGATAATAACTGTAATAATTAACATTCATTGAGGGTTTATTACATGTCAGGAACTGTCCCAAGACGTAACTTTTACAGCCTTCTTAAATCTTCATAATTCTGCAGTGAAAATAAATAAAGAGGAAAAAAAGGACAAACAATAACAACAACAAAAAATCCTGCAATGCAGGTACTGTTATCATTTCCATTTTACAGATGGAAAGGGGGCACAGAATGAGTAAGCAACTTGCCCAAACTCACACATCTAGTAAGTAGAGCAGGAGGATGATTGTTTACCTGAACTTGAGATATGAACTATATTCTACTTTGTTACTTAATTCCATTGTTTGGTAGTTGTCTTAGAAATTTTTATTTAAATACATTGAAATACATTTTCACATTACATCTTATCCATTATAGTTTTTTAAAATAATGAATAAATCTCTTTTTTGGGGTCACAGGATGGACAGTCTGAAATTTTATACACATTTTGGAATTCAATTACTCAAGCACTTTACTCTCAATTTCAAGTGGCAACAAATTGTAAGTATACTATTTATTTTGCAAATTCACTTCTTTTTTTCCTTTTTATTGAATTTATTGGGGTGATATTGGTTAACAAAATTATACAGGTTTCAGGTACAAATTCCACAATGTAAATTCATTTTAAAATTGTTTAGTTACTTTAAAATTTAATGTCAAGAAGTTTTCCTTTGTTGGTTTATAAAACATATTGTCATTTCTTAAGTTAGCCATATATTCAGTTTTATAAGCAGCAGATAACTTTTTTTACATTTTTAATATTTATTACCTTGAATAAAAGTCTTCAAAGAATAAGTTAATTCTCCATAATTCAAGCATAGAGGAATTCTGTCTTAATTTTTCCTATGTGTAAAGGGTATAAAGAAATTGATGTTGAAGAATTTAGTTAATGCCTGTAGAATTATTTTCCTAACTAAAAAATATTAAAATATTTTCCTTAGTGTTGAAAAAAAACCATCATTTAGCCCTGGCTGCTATGCTCAGTGGTTGGAGCATTGGCTTGTGCAGTGAAGGATCTTGGGTTCAATTCCAAATCAAGGAATCTCTCTCTCCCTCTTCCTTCCTCTCTGAAATCAATAAAAAAATATTTTTAAAAATGGGGGGTGGAGGGCAGCACCTGGGTTGCAGGTTCTATCCCAGCCTTCTTTGGGGTGCCTGCAGGGAAGCAACCAATTGATGTGTTTCTCTCCTATCAGTGTTTCTCTTTCTCTCCTCTCTCCCTCCCGCCCTTTCACTCTCTCTAAGAACCAATAGAAAAAGTATCCTTGGGTGAGGATTAACCAAAAAAAAAAAAAGCAAAAAAAAAGCAAAAGATTGAATGAATGAACTGATGAAATACCTGCATCATGAATTAAAAGTTGCTTATCCAAATGTGATCCACAAAACTCTCTTAATTTGTTTTTGCCATGAAATAATTGTGCAGGGTAGTTCTAAACAATGAAATATACAAACTAGCTAATACCTTATGAATGTTATTGTCTAATTACTGAATGTAAGAATATTGAATGAACCTAGGCTTTTTTAAGCGTTTTGAGAGTTTGTGTGTAGTTAAATTTTTATTCACAAACTTTGACTGAAAGTACCTAATACATTAAAATATAGGGTGTCCCCTAAAAACTTATACACACTTTTCACCCATTATGAATTACAATGGGTTAAATCTGAAAAGAAAAAGAAAAAAAAGAACATTAATTGAGCTATCAGCTGTTAATGTATATACATTTTGGGGGGACACCCTGTATTACCTAGTCACTGGCAACACAAGGTTGAATAAATCTCACTACCCACCTCCCTACTTCCATTTCTAAGGAAATATGCAACAAGGCTGTATCCATACAAGAGGTCTCCATTAACGTGTGGCCAAACAAAACTTAAGCAGAGAATTTATTTAGTGCAGATTTATTTCATTTACTTCTATAATCACACTACTCAGAGATACTTTACTACTAGTAAGTCTCCCTGCATTAGGTATCTGTTTTGGTCAGCTTCTTCTGAGATAATAATTCAGTACAGTAAAAGTCACCAATTTTAAGCAGAAAATTCTATGAGTTTTGACACCTGTTTATATCCTTATTACCTCCATCACAATTGAGATTTAGAACATTTTCATCACTTCTGAAATTTTTCTCATGTTCCTTTGTAGTTAATCTCCTCCCACCTTTTAGCTTCTGGCAACTATTGTCATATAAGTTAGCTTTTCCTAGATTTTCATTAAGCTGGAATCATGCAGTGTGCATGCAGTACTAGAGGCCCGGTGCACGGCATTCATGCACTGCAGGGGGGCGGGGGGTCCCTCAGCCCGGCTGGCACCCTCTCACAGTCCAGGAGCCCTTGAGGGATATCCACCTGCCGGCTTAGGCCTGCTCCCTGCCAGGGGTCCTTAGCACTGCCATCGAGGTGGGAGAGGCTCCAGCCACTGCAGCTGCACTCGCTGGCCATGAGCCTGGCTTCTGGCTGAGCGGTGCTCCCCCTGTGGGAGCACACTGACCACCAGGAAGCAGCTCCTGCATTGAGCGTCTGCCTCATGGTGGTCAGTGCGCATCATAGCAACTGGTCCTTCCGCCGTTCAGCCAATTTGCATATTAGGGTTTTATTATATTGAATAATTATTTTAAGATGCATCCATGTTGTAGCATATATCAGTAGTGCATTTCCTTTTTATTGCTGATTTGTATTTCATTGTATAGATGAAATACATTCTTCAGTTGAAGAACAATTGGGTTGCTACAGTTTTGGGTTATTATGAGTAAAGCTAACTACAGTCATTTACTGACACATCTTTTTGTATACATATGTCTTCATTCTCTTGGGTAAATACATAAGATTGGGATTTCCTGATAATTTGATAAGTATGTGTTTAATTTTGTAAATAATTGCTAAACTATTTTCCAAGATATATGTACCATTTTACATTCCCATCAATAATTATAATTCCAATTGCTCTACATTTTTATCAATCAATGATATTGTTAGTCATTTTAATTTTAGCTATTCTTATGAGTGTTCTAGTAGATTTTAATTGTGGTTTTAATTTCCATTAGCCTAAAGACTAATGATTTTTGACCATATTTTCACATACTTACCTACCATCTGTATGTCTACTTTGGTTATGTGTTTGTCAAGATCATTGTCTTAGTTTAGTTGGTTTTTTAAAAGTTTATTGCTTATTCTATTATTAAGTCTTAAAAGATTTTTATATATTGTAGACTCAAAGTTCTTTTTCAGATGGGTGTTTTACAAATATATCCCCCCCATCTGTGGTTTGCCATTTTATTGTCTTAGCAATGTCTTCCAAATGACAACAGTTTTTAATTTTGGTAAAGTTACATTTATCAATTTTTCTTTTATAATTTGTGGGAGTTTTTTTAATCAAAGAAATATTTGTCTAATTCAAGGCCAGAAGTATTTCCTCCTATATTTTATCCTAGAAGTATTACTAGGTTCTTTATAGTTAATTTGTGAATATGATATAAAGGTTAAGGTTAATTTCTATACTGTGCCTATAAAAATGTCTCCTAAGATTTTGATTAGGATTGCATTGATTCTACAAAGCAATTTGTGATAAATTGGCATCTTAACAATATTGAGTCTTCTGATCCACATTTGTGCTCTATCTTACCATTGATCGGTTCTTATACATTGCCTCTTATCAATGTTGTGTACAGTTTTCAGTCTAGCAAATCTGTTCTTAAATTTATTATGATTTCATATATTTTGAATTTATTATTAATGATACTTTTTTAAATTTTTTCTTTAGAATTGTCCATTGTTAGTATGTAAAAATACATTTGATTTTTATGTACCGACCTTGCATTCTTGACTTTGCTAACCTTATTAGTTCTAGTAGTTCTTGAAGATTTTTAAAATGATTTTGTGTATTGATGATGATATGGTCTGCAAATAAAGACAATTTCTTTTTTAATCTAGCATCCTATTTTTTTTTCCTTAATACACTGGCTGATACCTCTAATACAGTGTAGAATTAAAATAGCTTCTGCATTGCTTACTATCTTACTGAGATAGAATTCAGTTAACCTTTATATGATATTAATTGCAGGTGTTTCCGTGCTGTCCTTAATCAGGATGAAGAGTTTCCTTTCTTTTTCTTGTTGTTTGAGGGAAAGTAGTTGACTTTTTTCATGCTTTTTTTTTTGCATCCATTTAGATAATCAAATAGTTTTAGTTATTTTAATCTGTTAATATCATGAATTATGTTGACTTTTCAAGTTTTGAACCTGACTTACATTCTTGGATAAAACTCACATGGTCATGATTCATTATCCGCTTTACATGTTGTTGGGTTTAAATTGCTAAAAAAAAAAAAAAGCCTTTGATCTTCAGTTTTTGCCGGAGTCCAACCCCAGCAGGTCAAGGGGTCCCCAAAGGTGTGGATGGAGTCGGCGAAGAAGGAATGACACAGAGACAGCGTTCAGTTGATCAGCAGCCTAGCCAGGATCTCTAGCCAGGATCTCCAGCCAGGTTCTGTGTCCATGTTCTCTTGCTAGGTTCTCCAGATTCTCCAGCCAGGTTCTGTAGCCATGTTCCCTCGCTAGGTTCTCCAGCCAGGTTCTGTCCAGGTTCTCCAGCCAGGTTCAGTCACCAAGTTCTAGTCAGGTTCTCTTGCCAATTTCTGTAGTCAGGTTCAGTCCAGGATCTTTTGCCATGTTCTCTCGCTAGGTTCTGTCTCTAGGTTCTGATGCCAGTTTCTGTCCAGGATCTTTTGCCATGTTCTCTCCAGCGAAGTTCTTCTGTCTCTAGTGAACGTTCTGTGTAGGTTCTGTGCCTCCTGGTTCTGTCTTCTAAGTTCTGTGTTCTAAGTTCTGAGTCTTGCTGTCTTATTACATCTGTATTTATACCAGTTGATTCAATCCTATCAATCTCTATTATAAAGGTTAGGGCGTTTCTTATCTCCATTCCAGGGAGTAAAGATTATGTAGTTTAAGCATGATTGTTCATAGTTAAAGTGATTAATTACCCGCCTGGCACTTAGTTAAGAGGTTTTATTCCCTCCCTAACTTCAGGGGAAAATCCCTACCTGGGGAAACACCCTTTCTCAGAGACCTTGGTTAAAACACATAGTGCCAAGAAGGTGAGCAAACATATTAAGAACAGTATGCCATATATGCCAGTCCCCTTGAAACAGCAAGCATGGACCGGCTCCAGGCAAGTTTTCTTGTAATTTCTTTTTCCAGTTTTAGTGTCAGGGTAATGAATACCTCAGAAAATACGTTGGGAAGTATTTCCTCCTCTTCAGTTTTTCAAGCAGTTTGTGTAGAATTAGTATTATTTTTTCCTTAAATCAATCTTTGGTCGAATTCACCAAAGAAGTTATATGGGCCTGGAATTTTCTCTGTGGGAAGGTTTTAACTACAAATTCAACTTCTTTCATAAGTATAGGATTATTTCAATTATTTCTTCTTGAATGAGCTTTGGTAGTTTATGTCTTTCAAAGCCTTTTTACAGTTTGTTGAGGTTTTCTGATTTATGGGAATAAAGTTGCTGTATGCTTCCTTATTACCCTTTGCATGTCTGTGGAATCTGATGTGATGTTCCATCTCACATTAGTTTCATCTATTTTTTCCTAATAATTATGAGTAGAGGTTTATTAATTTTATTCATCTTCTCAGAAACCAATATTTGGTTTCATTGATTTTTCTCTATTTTCTATTTTATTGATTTCTGCTCTTATGTATATTATGTATTTTCATTTATTTGCTTTGGGTTTGATTTGCTCATTTTCTTGTTTATTAAACCTAAGTTTAGATTATTAATTTAAACTTTGCTTTTCTAATTTAAAGTTTAGATTATTAATTTAAACTTTGCTTTTCTAATTTAAGTGTTTATGCTAATTTTTTTTCTACAGGCAGTATTTAGCTGCATGCTATTGTCACCTTATTTTTCCCCCCAAACATATGAAATGTTAAAAGAATAGTGAAATAACATCTATATATCTATGTCTTTGATTCAGTAATTACTCAGAGTTGTTCAGTGAAATGAGCATTTTTAGAGTCTGACATGTGTGCTTGAAAGTTAAAATTCATAAATTATTTTAGGAGGTAGTTTTTAAAATATTCAGGTGTAGTATTATATAAATACATTTTTACTAGTTCCTAACTTCATGATGAAAGTAATGAGACCAGTTATCATCCTGAAGTTTTCTTCACATTGTAAGCTGATTACTCATAAACCAGTAAGAAAATACAAGAGTAAATATGCCTACAAAATATGTAAGCATAATTACAAAATTTAATAAAACCTCAGTTTTTAGAATAAAAGAAAGCAAATGTAAAAGTCCATTTATGTTCTCAGGCATTCATTAAAACTGTATTTTATCACTTTAAAAACCTTTTTAAAATCTTCAAGCTGTTATAGTCAATGAAGACAAGTTTTAAGTTAATTTTAAGTTAATGAAGACAAGTTTTCCAGAGAGTCAGAAGTGGGAGGAGAGGCTCTGCTTCCAGCAATCTGGAGCTGGCTGGTTCTGCGTTGTTACCCCATTGTCTCAGCAATATCCTTCATACTTCTCTCTCTCTCTTTTTTTAAATTTTTATTCATTGATTTTAGAACAAGGAATGTAGGTAGAAGAAAGAATGAGAAAGAAAGAAACATTGATTTGTTGTTCCACTTATTTATACATTCATTGGTTGCTTCTTGTATGTGCCCTGACACAAGATCAAACCCACCGTGGTGTATCGGGATGATGCTCTAACCAACTGAACTTTTTTTTTTTTCTATCTTGCATTTGCCCCTTAAAAAAAAAAAAAAAAAAAAAATATATATATATATATATATATATATATATATATATATATATAATTTATTTCAGAGGGGAAGAGAGAGGGAGAGAGAGAAACATCAGTGATGAGAGAGAATCATTTATTGGCTGCCTCCTGCATGCCCCACACTGGGGATCGAGCCCACAAGCCGGGCATGTGTCCTGACTGGGAATCAAATTGTGACCTCCTGTTTCATAGGTCGACACTCAACCACTGAGCCATGCTGGCCAGGCTTGCATTTCTCCTTTTAAAAAATATTTTCCCCCTGAATTAGAAACCTATTCAAATTACCTTAATAAAACTAAAAACAAAACTAGAGGTTTTCTCTTTAGTTACTATTTAATCTCTCCTCTTTTTATCCAAACTTCATCTTCATTTTCATACTGTTAATCTCTCAAGTAGGTGCACTATAGTTATATCCCACCATTCTATTGAAATTGTCCTCATTAAAGTAAGCAGTGACCTACCTCTTAATTGCCAAAGCCAGTCATGCTTTTCAGTTCTTATCTTAGGGGACCTATCTGACTTGTGTAGTCAAAGAAACTACTGAGAAGAAGTATAATATTTTTAAGCAAAAATCTCATTGATATTTCACATTCTGAGTGGTCTGTTACTACTAATAGCATTATTATTTTAGTAACTACCTTTGTGAGAACTTCAAAGTTAAGTTGTTTGTAAAGCAGCTGCCATTTATAGAGCACATACAGTTCCTGATGTGTACTATAGTACTTAAAATTATAGACACAAAATATTAAGGAAATTCAACCATCTGTAGAGTGAAGAGTCTATACAATGTAACAGATTGTCTAAGTAAGTAGAATTTTGGAAGAAAATATCTAAAGGGAAATTTTTCTAGCTAGGAACATGTTCTTTCTGATTATAAATGTTCATGTTTAGAAAAAGAAGATCTGGATATAATAAAATATAATCCAGGGATTTGACAAAAAATGAATGTACTTTATTTAAAAGATGAGGCGCCTGAACCTATCACAATGAAGATTCAAAATATTCCGTATATGAAATCTGCTGCTTTAATTATCTTTGGGTGATAGTTATTTCCAGGATGATTTCTAAGCTTTGTGTCTGTTAGTTTTCTGTCATAATTTCCAGGTAATAATATTTGTTCACCAACCTGATGCTTTTTCTGCATTTATTTATTATGATCACATGCTTTTCATCTTAGTTTGTTAATATGATGAATTGTAACCAGAACCAAGGTTTGACTGCCTACCACTACGAAAACCAAACTCGTGAGACAGATGCTAGTGAAAAAGGAAAGGGATTTATTGGAGTGCTGGCATCTTGAGAAGATGGGAGACTCTTGTCCAAAGCCCATCTTAGCATCTCAGTGCAAGCAGGGGTTTTTATAGCGAGGGAGAGGAAATGCAGAACAAAGAGATCAGGAGGAGGGGCTGTGGACAGGCAGGCAGTATCCTTGCTGGTCCAGATATGGATCTTTAGTGTCAGTGTGCTTGAACTGGTGAGTTCTAGCCAAATTCCTGCAGTTGGGTAACCTCTGTCAACTGAAGTCATGGTCAAGGCCATTTCTTATACAAGAGGAACTGGAACTGCCGATGCCTGCAATCTTCCTATATAATAAAAGCCTAGGTGGCATTGCGCGATGTCACAAGATGGCCACCCCACGTCGTCACAAGATGGCCACCTCCATGTTATCACAAGATGGCCACCACAATATGGCCGGCAGGGGAGGGCAGTTGGGGGTGATCGGGCTGGCAGGGGAGGGCCATTGGGGTCGATTGGGCTGGCCTAAACCGGCAGTCGCACATCCTCCTAGGGGTCCCAGATTGGAGAGGGTGCAGGCCAACATCCCCTTCCCTCTGTGCACAAATTTCATGCACCAGGCCCTAGCATATAATAAAAGGCTAATATGCAAATTGACTGAACAGCGTAACAGCCGGTAGGCTGCAGAGAGCAGGCCTAAGCTGTCAGTCGGACATCCCCCGAGGGCTCCTGGACTGTGAGAGGGCACAGGCTGGGCTGAAGGACTCCTCCCCCCACCCCCACCCCCCAACTGCACAAATTTTCATGCACCAGGCATCTAGTATGCTTATAAGGAAACTGTCAGTATGGGTCAGTTCCTTTTATCTGTTTGTTAGTACGTTTTATTCTAATTCAATTTCATGGTTTGTCAGAGTTGTATAAACTTTTTATTCCCTGTTACAGAGTCACACTGATTGATATCAGAGTTCTTAGGATAAATCCCTCTTGGTCATAATGTATTATTCTTTTTATATATTCATGGACTAGATTTGCTGAATTTAAAAAAAAAATCCTCACCCAATAATATTTTTCTATTGATTTTTAGAGAGTGGAAGGGGTTGGGGGGCGGTGTGGAGAGAAAAACATTGATATGAGAGAGACACACCAATTGTTTGTCTCCCGCACGGGCCCTGACCTGTGCCCGGGATCAAGCCTGCAAACAAAGTATGTGCCCTTGACTGAGAATCGAACCCACAACCCTTTGGTCCACAGGCTGATGCTCTAAACCCTGAGCCAAGTTGGCCAGGATAGCATTATTTTATTTATTTTAAATTGCATTTATTGGGTTTACATTGGTTAATAAAACTATACCAGAATTATTTAAATGGCCTCTTTGGAATACACCTTTGGTTTGACCTGTAATGTAAGCTGTTTGTCCCATCATCTTCATATACAAAAGAAACTTCTAGCTACATTTTGTTTTATCATTTATCTAATGCATTTATTGTTTTGCTTGGCAGCTTCTATGTTTTTGAAACAGGCATTTGAAGGAGAATACCCTAAATTATTGCGTCTTTATAATGACTTATGGAAGCGTCTTCAACAGTACAGCCAAAATATTCAAGGAAAATTTAATGCAAGTGGAACCACAGACCTCTATGTTGACTTACAACACATGGAAGATGATACACAAGACATATTCATACCAAAAAAGCCAGATTATGAGTATGTTTGTTTAAGCAAACCTGTTTGTTGGCATGTTAAGATTTTGTCTTAATCTTATGCTGGAATAGGTTCTCTGGTAGGGAAAAATTGAACACATGCAAAATTAAACCTGAAAATCTCTTAGATCACTCATGTTTAGGAGCCACATTGGAAAACAACATACATCTCAAGTTTAAAGCAGCCACCTTTTCCTCCTGTGTTGAAAAAGAGTATTATTTTAAAATTTTTATTTGCGTACCAAATCAATTGATTTGCACACCTTTAAACACTAGAATCATATTTATAGTGAGGAGACTGACTCAGATAACAGATTGTTATCACCTACCTTGTAAGAAAAACATTGGATTTTTCATGGGTGATTTTAAATGTTTGTTTCTTTCACTTAAAAAAAATATTGTGGTTGAATTATATCTCGGTCAGAGATACATAACTGGGTTACAGATTTGATTTCCAGTTCCAGTTGGGGCGTGTGCAGGCAACCAATTGATGTGACCCTCTCACATCGATGTTTCTCTCTCCCTCCTTCCACTTTCCCTCCCTCCCACTCTAAAAATCAGTTGAAAGAAAATCTTCAGATGAGGATTAACAATAACAAAAAATATATAGTTTAGAGGTCAAGCCAATAAATTTGATTTGAGAGGAAAAGAACCAGGGATATACTTGAATAAGTTTGGGAGAAGACTGTTAAGAAGGGAAGACGTTTCTTTTATGAAATAGTGCTGAATTTACTTTTGAAACTGTTGAATTGAAAATGCAAATAGAGTTGTTGAAAAGGTAGTTGAATGTGAATCAAGGCTAGAAATACATATTTGGGAGTCATCATTATAACCATTTTTAAAAATCATGGAATTGGAGGAGATGGCATAGGGAAGATATATATAAAGGTAAACGAGAACTCTGGCCCAAAACAGGTTCTCCAAAATTCATAGATTGGCCAGAGGGATGGCAGCCTGCAATGGAGGCTAAGCAAGAAAATGATTATAGAGGAGAAAAACTCACAGTAGTGTGGGACCCCAAAGAATGAATTTAATTTAAGTTTAAGGAAGATCAGTTAACTGTGTCATATACTACAGAAAAGTTGAAGGTGAGGACTGATAATTGCTTTCTTAACATAGCAAAATAAAGGTTTTGGAGGCCTAGGTGTGGAATGGTAGACACAAACGCATCATTAGAATTGATTAATGACACAATAGCAGAAGATCGGCTTCTGACTGGTTACTACTCCACTGACCTCACTCTCCAGTGAAACTGGTTAGGACTAAAAATAACAATGTAAAGCCTCTGGAAATGGCCCTAAAAGCAAACAGCAAATGACAAATCATTTACTCGAAATCTATGAAAATTCAGTAAGAAAGAATTTATTGAAGAGCCTGTGATATTTGAGCCAAAACTGTTTCTTCCCTCCATTCTCCCATCTCAGCAATGCATACACTCTACTTGAGACTGCAGCAACAAAGAACAAAAGGCTCTCTTTGCCCTGTCAACTTGATAAACTTCCAGATCTTTGGAGAATTTTTATAAGAGTTTATTTGAGCCAAATTGATAATTGATAACATATGCCAGGAAACAAGATCTCAAATGCTCTAGAGAATAACAGATTGACAGTTTTTTTTATGCATTTGAAATTAAGGAGGATTGGAGAAAGTAGGGTGGGCATTAGATTACAGGATAGTTAATGAGATTATGTGCTCTCTTGAGGGTTGATACCTCCTTTTGAGGGGTACTACTTCTGGTATTTCAGAAATGTGTTAATCTAGAAAAATGGACAGGGCTGGTTTAATATGTTTCCCCAAAGAAGTTATAGGCCTAAGGCATGAATACTCACCATGACCAGCCCAATTAGGAATTAATGATCAGAGTACTCGGTGAAATTACTTTCCATAGAAGTTCTTTTTTTCATCTACAGCCCCCACCTCCCAATTGCAGGGCTCATCCTGCTAACAGCTTCCCATAGCTGAGGCCAGTTTCAGGCAAATGAGATCAAGAAGTGTGCCCAGCCCTAACCAGTTTGGCTCAGTGGACAGAGGGTCAGCCTGCGAACTCAAGGGTCCCAGGTTCGATTCCGGTCAAAGGCATGTACCTTGATTGCGGGCACATACCCAGTAGGGAATGTGCAGGAGGCAGCTGATCGATGTTTCTCTCTCATCGATGTTTCTAACTCTCTATCCCTCTCCCTTCCTGTCTGTAAAAAATAATAAAATATATTTTTTAAAAAAAGAAGAAGTGTGCCCAAGCACCACTCAAGGAGTGGCAACTCTACCTTATTGTGGTACCATGAAAATACTGAAGTCTTAATAAATCTTCCCCTCGCTTTTGAAATAGTGGTTCATGCCAGGAAATGTAGGCTAAGAGGACCTCAGGATGCTTCCCTGCTTCACTAGAGTAAGGTGTTACTTGAGGCTTTTTCTTAAGACAGTTTAATGCTCTCCAGAATCTGATGTCTTAAGGGCTTAATGATTAAGGGAGTGGATGGATAGAAAGGAGAAAGTGTCATGTTAAAGAAATGGAGTTTCTGCGCAGTTACAGATTTTATTGAAAAGCTAGAGGCCCAGTGCACGAAATTCATGCACTGGGGGAGGGGGTGTCCCTCAGCCCAGCCTGCACCCTCTCTAATCTGAAACTCCTCGGAGGATGTCTGACTGCCGGTTTGGGCTCAATCCAACAGGGATTGGGCCTAATCTGGCAGTCGAACATCCCTCTCACATTCGGGACTACTGGCTCCCAACTGCTCACCTGCCTACCTCCTGATTGCCCCTAACCACTCCCCTGCCAGTCTGACCGACACCTAACTGCTCCCCTGCTGGCCTGATTGCCCCTAACTGCCCTCCCCTGCTGGCCTGGTTGCCTCTAATTGCCCTCCCCTCCAGGCCTGGTTGCCTCTAACTGCCCTCCCCTGCCGGCCTGATCACCCCTAACTGTCCTCCCCTGCAGGTCTGGTCGCCCCCAACTGCCCTCCCCTGCAGGCCTGGTCCCTCCCAACTGCCCTCCCTCCCCTGTGGGCCCAATTGCCCCAACTGCCCTCCCCTGCAGGCCTGATAGCCCCCAACTGCCCTCCCCTGTTGGCCTGATCACCCACAACTGCCCTCCCCTGCCGGCCATCTTGTAACCACATGTTGGTGACCATCTTAGGGTGTGATGGTCAATTTGCATATTACCTCTTTATTATATATAAAATAATAATATAACGTTTATATTATCTAGGAAGCTCTGTAAACTCCAAGTAGGATTAACTCAGAAAGACCACAATAGACAGGTTTATTCCATACTTAACTCATTTAAATTTTATTTATTTATTTAGTATCACTTTCAATAGCATGTAAACTTTGAGGACAGAATTTTTGAGCTGACTTCATAGCTACATTTCCTACATTTTGGAGGTCCTTGACAAATTGTAAAGGCTTAATAGTATTTGTAGGAGGGAGGGAAATAGAGGAGAGTCGGAGTGTGGAAAAGTTCCCAATCTTAGAGATCTTAGAGTTGCAGCAGTTCAGAATGTTGGCTCAGGTATAAGGAAGCTCCATAGTAGAGATAAAATAAAGGTAGATGGATTCCTGGCACAGAACAGAAATAAGTGAAAAAAGTTACCTGTTTGACATAGTAGCCCCCAAGGACCCTTAGAGCACTGGAGAGCAGGAAGAGTGCTAGGGCTAACGTTTCTTTGGAAGAGGGAAGATGCTTTTTTTTTTTAATTGGGTTGACATTGGTTTATAGAATTAAAGGCTTCAGGTGTACAATTCTACAGTAAAGTACTTCATCTTGTATGTTGTATATTGCATTGTGTTGGGGAAGACATTTCTTACGGTTAATAAATGACAGAAGGAAAAACAGAAGATGTTTAAAGAGATGCCATAGACTTCAGTATAGGATTACTTCTAACAGATTTAGGCACTAGTTCTTCACTTTTCCCATTGTGGTCTTTCTGTCTTCATCTGTTATACTTTACCTGCATATTTCCTTTTTTTTCATCCTTACCTGAGGATATTTTCTCCATTACTTTTCAGAGAGAGTGGAAGGGAGAGGACAGAGAGAGAAACATCAGTGTGAAAGAGACACATCGACTGGTTGCCTCCTGCACGCATCCCGACCAGGTGTTAGGGAGTGAACTGCAACACAGGCGTGTGCCCTTGACCAGTAATCGAACCTGCGACCCTTTGGTGTAGGGGCAACTCCAACCAGTAAGTAACACTGGTCAGGGCAGCCTACATATTTCTTTACTAGAGTTTTAAGCATTTTAAATCTGTATCTTCCCAGCACTTAAAAAGGGCCTGGTACACGGTATTCCCAGTAAATATGTGTCGAGTGAAATACTTATTGAATGAGAAAGTATCAATTGATAACCATGGAATTATGACACAGAGCCAAGAGCATTCTGACATCTAGGTCTTGTCAGTTGATCAGAAAGAGTGGGAAAGGAGAAAGCCAGGCTTTGTATACATGAAGTAGCAGGTCATTTGTTTTCAAGGTTAATATTTAGGATGAAGGGGTATTTATTTAAGAAAAAGAAAAAGACAGTGGCAGGGCAAAAGAGAATGGTAGGGCTGGTAAAAGGATCATAAACAGGGATGATGTATTTGATAATTGTTAGAGGAAAACTCTAAGACTCAATAATTGGACTGCTAAATGAAAATCAACACAAATAATTGAAGGCATAGGAAGAGTACGGAGGAAAAGAAGTGTTTAATAGGCTACATTTTCTTTTGTGAAGAATATTGTAAAACAAATTAGCTTAGAACTCCAGTGGGGAGTATTTATGTGATTGTAGGACGTTAACAAATACTTTTTATTTTCTCCTCTTTTTTTTTTTTTAATATATTTTATTGATTTTTTTACAGAGAGGAAGGGAGAGAAATAGAGAGTTAGAAACATCAATTAGGGAGAAACATCGATAAGCTGCCTCCTGCACACCCCCCACTGGGATGTGCCCACAACCCAGGTACATGCCCTTGACCGGAATTGAACCTGGGACCTTTCAGTCCGCAGGCCGACGCTCTATCCACTGAGCCAAACCGGTTTTGGCTTCTCCTCATTCTTATTAGTAACAGTTTGGGCATGGGAAGGTAGATAAAAACCTAGACCTGTATGTATACTTCTCTGCCAGTCAGTGAGCTTTATGGGACGTGCCAGCTATGGGTGAAAAGGATTGAGCGAGTGCAGCAATTTTCAACCAGTGTACCGCAAGATTTTTTAATTTTCCATTTTGTAAGGAAACCTCTACAGTCTTCTTTTTTTAAATTTTACTTATTTATTGATTTTAGAGAGAGAAGAAGGGAGAGAGAGAGAGATTGTTCCACTTATTTATGCATTCATTGGTTGATTCCTGTATGTTCCCTGACCTGGGATCAAACCTGCAACTTTGATGTATCAAACCACACTAACCACTGAGTACCCAGCCAGAGCAACTGCAAGAATTTTTAAAACATGCAATACCTGACTATTTAGTCAGGGACACTTACCTCTTTTCCCTTAGATTGTCAAATAAAAAAGTGACGACAGCTCACACAAAATAGCTGTCCAGTGTGAATGCCCTGTCTTGAACCATAAATATATAGGTCCTATAATAGAGTTGCATCTTATTGGTCATGTTTCATAATAAGGTTGCATCTGATTGGTTAGTTCTTGGTACCAGAAATCCTTATATATAAGTGCTAGAGGCCCAGTGCATGAAATTCATGCACAGGAAGGGGGGGGGCGGTCCCTCAGCCCAGCCTGCACCCTCTCGCAATCTGGGATCGCTGACTCTTAACTGCTGGCATGCCTGCCTGCCTGATCATCCCTAACCACTCTGCCTGCCTGCCTCATTGCCCCTAACTACTCGCCTGCCTGCCTCATCGCCCCTAACTGCTCACCTGCCTGCCTGATCGCCTCTAACTGCCTCTGCTTTGGCTCCCGCCGCCATGGCTTTGTCCAGAAGGACGTCCGGAATGATGACTGGAAAGTCGTTCAGCTGTCCAGTAAATCAATAAAAGTTATACCTCTGTTTTTGTCAGAATAGCAAAAAATATATATTTTGGTGTGCTGCAGAATTTTAGTAATTAGTCCATGTGTGCCATGAGAAGAAAAAGGTTGAAAATCACAGCTAGTGGAACAGGTCTCGGCAGATATGACACTGTAAAGGTAGGATTTGCTAAGTAAAGGTATAGCCCTATTAGAAATTAAGAAGATTTTACAGTGTTAGTCTTTGAGTTTCAAATGACAGACTTACTTCAGTAGGTATTGATGTATGTTATATTTATACCTAGGATTTATGTATACATTAAAATATTTAGTCCTTAATAAATGTTTAATTATGAAATGTATTTCTATTTATATTTAAACAAAATTTCTGTTTTTTCTGCATGTAGAGTTACATTTTATTTAGATTTGCTTTTTAAGAAAGGCATTTGCAGCCTAAATTCATTTTTAATACATTTTGTTTCCACAGTCCAGAAAAGGCTTTAAAAGACTCAATACAACCCTATGAGGCTGCTTATCTATCAAAGTCCTTATCTCGACTCTTTGACCCTATCAACTTGGTTTTTCCCCCTGGTGGTCGTAATCCTCCTTCTTCAGATGAACTGGAAGGTATTATTAAAACTATAGCAAGGTATGTATTTTTAATTAATGGCATGTTGTTAAAATGCCTGCCATGTTTGTTAGTCATGTATGAAAGCAATATATTTTAATTTATCTTAAATTATTTAAGTAACTAGTGGCCCAGTGCACGGATTTGTGCACATTGAAAGGAAATTAATTAGAAGAAATATTTTAATCTGTATTCGCCCTTTCTCTATAATAGAAGTGTCAACCAAATTCACGATCAACAATGACAGATCGAAACACACAGGTGCGATTGGCACCAGCAAGAGCTTTATATGTATCGCAAGTCAGTGTTTGTTTATTTTTTTTTAATGTTTATTTTTAAATTGCCAGTGCGTGTCGTATGTACTGGCCAGTCGGATGGATGGACAGACGGACAGTCACTTAGCCTTTTATATACATAGATTAGTCCTGCAGTTATATCAACAGTTTTGTAGTGAATGAGTGCACATAAAGTACTTAAGATTCCAATTAATGAAACCATTTTTTAAATACTGTAAAAAAAATAGTCTATTCTAATTATTCTGTATCTTGTCAATGATGCAAATTCTTTATGCTATAGTAAATTACACAGGAAAGTATAGGAATAATTTTATAAATTGAGAAGCTAAACCATAGAGATTAATGTTTCTTTTCTTAAATTCACAAAGTACTTCATGGCATATGCAGGATTATAATCCTCACTGACTTGCTTGTGTTTGCTATTTTAAGTTTTCTAAGTGAATGTGGCAGCTTTTAAAATTCCCAAAAGGGAAGGTAGCCTAGCAGAGGTGCCACCTGATGCTAGCAGACAATGTAATTATAATGTTGCCTTCAGAAATTTACAGTTGACCCAGATTAATTTGCAACTGCAACTATCTCAGTTCCCATAATAGCTAACAAATTGTCTTAACAGTAGGTTTTTACATTTGTAGATGAATACTTTGAGGAGTAAAAATAGTAGTTAACCAATACAGGACGACAGTATAGAAATGTCTAGATTCTTTTAGACTACAAATTTGATCACAGTGATTCTGAGGCATGTGAGAATAAGACTAAAAAGCCACAGGTATAATTTACATAAGCATCTCTCCAGGTACAAATATTCCTATAAAGCATCTACATTGCCCAGCATTTTTATCCCAAATCTCTCCACACTTACCATGACATTCCAAAGTCCTGACTCTAGGTTTTTTTTACCCTAATGTATTTGTTAGCTGTGTAGCATGGTAGTGACAAAAACAGTCCTGGCTTCAGCTTGGTCTCTTTGACCTGCTTATGGAAATATTAAAGGAGCATCTCTCCCCTTCCTCTATGCAGCTTGACAATGCTGTAATCAAGTATAATGTGGAGCTTACAGAAGCATACTTATGCCATTGTTTAAAAGTGAACATTAAAGACATTATGTCTCTATTGTATGCAAAGGCATTTCTGTCACACATAGTATGTACTAGTGTTATTTCAGAGTCCTTCATTTTCTTTATATAGAGAATCTGGTGCCGAATTTATTCTGCTCTTTCAGATCAATAATTACTTCTCCTGGTTTCTGCCTCTGTATGGGTTTTCATGCAATTTTTAGCTCCTGGTATTTTCACTTTTTTTTTTTTTTTGGTTGATAGCGCAGCTGTCCCAATTAATTCAATGTTAAAGTTGAAAATAAACATACTTTAATAATTCAAAATTAAATTCTTGCTATGCTTTTGATAGAATTACAGAGCCACACAAAATAGCATGAATTGGCATAATTTCTAGAAACTGAATATCTTAATGTAGCTCCTTTAATTTATACTTTTAGCCCATGTCCTTCCAAGGTCATCATTTCCATTCAAGAGCTGTCATTTCCTTGCAGTGTCTCTAATTGCACTTATCAGTATTCAGAGTGCTCCTTTTAAAATCTGTACACAATTTACTCTCATAATCACTGCCTAAACCCACAGTGGTATGCTTTCATTAATGAGAAACTGGTCATTAACCAAGCCATCTCAAAGCACTTGTTTTCTAATGCTGAGTTTAGGAGGGAAATTGAAACAATGCAATTCTTGATATCAATGAAATCTATAAAGAGAATTACTATATCGCTTGTGGGTTTTAGGGTTATATGTTGTTCTTTACTTTGCTCATGAACAGTGCTGCTAATAAAGTCTGCTCTTGTTTTCTCCAGTGAGCTAAATGTAGCTGCTGTTGACGCAAACCTCACATTAGCTGTGTCAAAAAACGTGGCCAAGACCATCCAGTTATATGGTGTAAAATCAGAACAGCTAGTAAGTGATATCCCGTCTATAAACTTTCGTGATTTTGTTTAAAATTACTAATTATACAATCCTGGACTAATAATTCATAGTGAATTCACTGAAAATTTATTTACTTTAGTGAACTTTTGAAACTTTCTGGTGAATTTAAACCAGAAAAAAGGTTGCACTTATTAAAAAAATGGCTATTCTACCATAGTTATACTTTCAGCTGTTTGCATGTATTTAAAGCAATAGCTATGTAATGGAATCATAAGCTTAATTCTGTACATTAATATTTTAAAGTTAGGCACACATTTAACTAATACATATGGGTCCTCAATGAAATCTAAACACCAAGGCTTTAGTATATATTTAACTGCCGTTTATGAACTAATTTTAGAGAATGTGCCAAAATCTGACATCTCTCCTGTCTTTATAGGGTAGTCAGCCATATCTTTTAGCCTCTCTGACTGCTCCTAATTGAAATGTCAGAAAATAAAGTAATCTGGTTTTACGTATGTCCTAGTAGTTCCAGTTGGTGCTGGAATAATTTTTAGGTAGGTTGGTAACAAATTGAACTGAAGGAATTTGTATGAAATGATCCTTGTTGATAACAGTCATATCATGAGGCTTCCTATTAGGATGGTCACATTTTGTTTGCATATTAATATGCTACTATTTTCCATTCAATTGTTCTTATAGCCTTGGCAAATAAATTAGAAGCCTCTTTTCCTAAACTTTGTTTCTTGAAAACTGGCCCTATAGAGATAATCAAAGCTCTTTGTAGGTAATTCGATGACTAATTTTTCTCTCAAGGGTGTTTTTATAGAAGCTTTATTATGATGTTTATTGCTTGTTTTATTTCTATAAATGAAATTCAGTACTATATCTAATAGAGTTTAGGGTAATTATTGAAATGTGAGAAAGATAATCCTTATGAGATGATCCCACCTAAGAACAACATTAGAAGGAAGAGCCAGCATTAATAGGAAATATTTTACATTTTATCCAGCAGGAGGAAGCAGTGGTAATGGTAACTTGTGACTTCAGTTAAGGCAATAATGGCAAAAGGAATTGACAAAATAAAAATGTATCGACAAACATATGATTAAATTTATACTGTTGGTCAAATAATCTGTGACCCTAAATTACTCATGGCTACCAAACCTACTGTGCTAAAGGTTAACAGAAACTTGTTGACTTAAAAAAATTTTAAGTGGCCCTGGCCAGGTAGCTTAGTTGGCTAGAGTGTCATCCTGATACACCAACGTTGTGGATTTGATCCCCAGTCAGGGTACATACAAGAATCAATAAACAAATGAACAACAAATTGATGTTCCTCTCTCTCTCTCTCTCTCTCTCTCTCTCTCTCTCCTCTTCCTTACTCTCTAAAATCAATCAATTTTTTTAATGCTCCTTAAACTTTTTAAAATGAAATTTTTTTTTTAAACATATTTTATTGATTTTCCACAGAGAGGAAGGGAGAGGAATAGAGAGTTAGAAACATCGATGAGAGAGAAACATCGATCAGCCTCCTGCACACCCCCCACTGGGTATGTGCCCGCAACCAAGGTACATGCCCTTGGCCGGAATCGAACCTGGACCCTTGAGTCCGCAGGCCGACGCTCTATCCACTGAGCCAAACCGGTCAGGGCTAAAATGAAATTTTTTTAAAAAATATATTTTTATTGATTTCAGAGAGGAAGGGAGAGGGAGAGAGATAGAAACATCATTGATGAGAGAGAATCATGGATTGGCTGCCTCCTGCACTCCACCTAGTGAGGATTGAGCTTGTGACTCAGGCATGTGCCCTTGACCAGAATCGAACCTTGGACCCTTCCATCCGCAGGCCGACGCTCTATCCACTGACCCAAATGGGCTAGGGCCAGGATTATTTTTTTAATAGTACACGTGTGAAGGCATCACAGGGGGAAAAAGTGAATATCAATAAAGGAATGAGATTTAAGAGTTTATATCCCACTTTTTTAAAAAATAAAAAACCTCACCTGAGTATATATTTATTGATTTTAAAGAGAGAGGAAGGGAGAGAAAGAGAAACATTGATGTGAGAGAGAAACATTGATCAGTTGCCTCCCGTACACTCCAACTGAAACCCCAAAACCGTTTTGGTGTACGGGACAACACTCCAACCAACTGAGCCACCTGGCCTGGGCTATAATAGAGGGAGTAGAAGAGGGGATGGAACATAGGCTACTTAAAAGGAAGGGTTGAATAACAAGAAGTAATAGTAAACACAAATAATTGGTAGACATGTAGATAAATCTAAGCCTTAATTGCATAAAATAAGAAATAATAGTGACTGATTTGGGACATATAAACAAGATAGAATTAAAATACAACTCCCCATTAAAGTTTAGAGTGGAGAACAGATAATGAATTTTGAAGCATTCTAAAATGTTTGTATGTAAAGAGTTTTTCTTTGATTAATAAATTAGTTATAGCATTCATTATTGAAAAATGGGAAAGCTCATTATACCTGACAGTGAATAATAGTTCTTTCTTCCTCAAAGAATTAAAAATATGCAGACTGGTGGCTCTAAATTTAATTAACAGGCCAGTGTTTAGGAGCTGGTGATTGGTTGTGGGTAGGTGGAAATTCCATCTGTTCAAAAGCATAAGGCCCTTGAAGAAAAATAAAGTAAAAGCTCTGTGATTCTTTCTTGCCAATTGTGTTTGCCTTCCCCACACTTTGTGGTTACCAAACCCCATGAGCCAGGTGGAGATTTTGACTTAAGGGACAGGAGCATAGAGATGTGAAGGAGGTTAATGAGTAAGGTAAGTTGATAAAAGCTCTTTGTAACAGAAATACAAGGTTATGAGCAATACAGCTTTGAACTACAAAGCTATATTTTATTCCTGTGTGCTGGTCTTGGTCATCTCTCATGTATAAACAAGATCTGATTTTGTTTCCAGCTTTTTGGTAACATGTTAACTATTCAAAAGGGAACCCATCTCAAATTGTCTTCTCTTTGATAACAGGTTTTAAATTGTGAAGGTTTAGTCTGATGTCAAGATGTAATGTCGCCACTGAATCTGTTCAGTGATTGAATGAACCTGTTCTTGTTTTTATATACATAAATACGTAGGGAAACCTTTCCTTTTTTTAATCAAAAGTCAAATATTTGACAAATTCAACAGTCTGAAGTATAAATAAGAACCAAGAAGGAAATAAAAGCATCCTTGGGACCCTAGCTGGTTTGGCTCAGTGGATAGAGCATCAGCCTATAGGCTAAAGGGTCCCGGGTTCGATTCTGGTCAAGGGCACATGCCAGGGTTGCAGGCTCGATCCCCAGTAGGGGGCGTGCAGGAGGCAGCGGATCAATGATTCTCTCTCATTATTGATGTTTCCATCTTTTTCTCCCTCTCCCTTCCTCTCTGAAATCAATAAAAATATATCAAAAAACAAAACAAGCATCCTCGCAACTGCCAGAATTGATGTCACAATGTCCATGCCCTAAAGTATACCCTTATTTCATAGGAAGGTCTCCCAGCTTTTGTGTGATTAGTTCTCTAGTTCCCATTTTAAAGCACATTAGACCAAGATAAGGGGAGATGAGAAGATCAGAAAGAGAAAACTGATACCTTAGCGATATAAGAAGGCTCATAGCATCACCAAAATTTAAAGAAAAAGGAAACTCAGGAGTTTCCAAAGAGATGAGAGAAGGGGCAAGCAGCCATATATACCCTTCTCAGCTCTGATAACACTTTTTTTGTTACTAAGAGAAAGTTTATTTAAAAAGTCACGGAGGTAAAAGAAGTGTGACAGAAGACATGGGCTCAGGAAACAAGTTACAGAGGCAAAAGAAGGGGCCCTTGGAGCTTAGGAGAGAAAAGAGTCAAGGAGAGGGACTGGAAAGGTGTGGGAGGGCTGCTGGGTCCTCAGTCCTCGGGCTTTGAAGGTGGGGATTTTAGGGGAGGTCCCAAGGGAGGGTCTCCATAGAATATTCAGCAGCTTTCCAGGTGGGCCCTTTCAGGGCTGTGGTCTCCGCTGGTCAGCCATGGCATCGCTCCTCTGGTTGGCTGCTTTTTCTGGGCCTGGAGCTGAAACACCACTGAGGCCTAGATGTTATCTCTGGGGTTAATGCTTAAGGGAGTGGTCCTGCCAGGGGTTTGTATGGGGGTCTTATGAGGCTATTCTGCCCCTTGTTCCTCCTCTAAAGGTATCTACCACATGACTAGCCACAGGCCAGGGGAGGAAAGGTCAGGGGAGGGTCAGAACCACACGACCAGCAACATGGAAAGTGAGAGGGGCCAAATCGCATGACCAACATATGCTAGAGGAGGACAGTTACCCTCGGGGGAGGTCCTTGTTTCTGTTTTACCCTTTGCTAAGCACCTGGGGCTTTCTGCCCTGGTGGCCTTCTGTACCTGGCCCATGGTCCTTGCTCTGCTCATGTCTGTGTCTAACTGCTTACCACATTACCCCCTCAAGGATCTTAGCTCTGAGTCACTTTTAAAACAAAGCAGGTAATAGCACAAAAACACTGGTCATTGTAACACTAGTGAACATATGCCGTAACCTCTGACACCACTAGCCATTGCCACTTCAATCTCTCAAGTGGCTTATTCAGGAGCCGTCCCACCTTCATCATAGTACAGAGCCCACATCTCCTGCTGTTTCATGGGAGCTCAGAGCTTTTATTAGTATTAGTTTACCATTTAGAGGTTAAACTGGATTTTGTAGGCTCTTCTGAGATTCTAACCATTAATTTTTCACCTAATTTCTGTAAGAAAACTATGGCTTTTTTTGGCTCACCCACTACAAGTGGTTGTTTTAGAACATAACCTGATTGCAAGTTGGTGACTGTCCACAAGAAAAGGCTAAATAAGTTACAGTTATTTAACCTGATGTCAAAACCTTTTGTTGACTTAATAGCCATTATCATGGGTGGTAACTTCAACAAAGGATTATTCTCTTTATTTTAATTGCCGTTTTTAAAAATTGTATTTTATTACCACAAGTAGAAATTTATCAAGTAAGAATTGAGTTTCATTTTGGAAATATATGTGTGTATGTTTGTAAAAGGAAAGACAAAAGAAAAAAAAACATATTTCTCTCAAATTTTATTGGCTCACTATTAGGAACACTCCTAAAAGGCCAATTTTTCATATGTTTGAGTTATGCATCCACATTCATAGAGTTAACTTGCACCATGTTTTATTTGTCCTGATCAGGTTTAATTTGCCTTTAAATAATAATTGTTATAGAGGAATGGATTAAAATATAATCAATATGAGAATGATTTATATGTGGATTTTTTAAAAATTGAATTATAATAGTTTTAGATTGATTCATAAAGCATTCCAGGTCCTGTTCCCTAAAAGTCATTCATTTAGAAGTAAGTTAAAGGTCAGGAGGAGAAAGTTCTGATACCACTTCTACTGATCTTTCATACCATTATTATAATCTTAGGCAACTTCCTTTAAAATTATTTTTTAATCTATAAAAAATGAGAGTAATACCTCTTTTCACCACTCATTTCATTGGAATATTATGATGACCGTCAAATGTACATAGAACATAGGTTTATTTTTATTCCTTCCTCTCTTCCTTTATTTCTTCCTTCCTTCCTCCCTCCCTCCTTTCCTTAACAGTTGCCAGAAAGTATTCCCCAGGAATATATGCTGATGTATCAAAATAACAGCACATACTAGACTTTCGGGTCACACCCCCTCAGGAGTCCATCAGCTGTGATGTATTGATGTAGGCTGTTCCTCTTGGGTAAGGTTACCTCCATATCCATGGTGTTATCTCTGCAGAGGTTCCTGCCGTGCTGAAAGTCCAAAGCTTGACCTGAATATTTCCAGTTACCATTTTGTCAGAGGGGCATTAATCCCACCTCCATCCCCACCTCCGCCATTATGGTCATTTCTTTCTGTGTTGAATTCTTACAGCTTTCCACACAAGGAGATGCAAGTCAGGTGATTGGGCCTCTTACGGAAGGGCAGAGGAGAAATGTGGCAGTAGTGAATTCACTGTTCAGATTGCACCAGTCAGTAACAAAGGTAACCTTTATCTTTATGTTTTTGACTGAATTTCAAGTTTTTCTTTCTTCTTGCCTCAAAGTTGGACAGTTTATGAATTATTTAATTTTTTTTTTGCAAAATAATGCAATGAAAACATGATGACTGTAAAATAAACCGAGGAATTAAGTCTCTTTATACAGTCTTTTACCCTTGCCTTTATTTGTGTGACTTTTTATCTGTACATTCAGTTTAAAACACATGAACTATAGATTCTCAAGTTTGGTTGTTATAATCCAGTTTATTGAACAAATAATGTAAGGATAAATTATCCATTCCATACCTATTAAAAAGCATAATATGATATCTTGTGAGTGGCAGTAACTTACAGCAAAGCTAATGACAGAGTAAGAACTCTAAGCCCTCCTTGTCAAAAGGTTCTATTTTTCACAAAAAGAGTGAAGGAGCTGCATGAAAACTGTGAATTTTTATGATATAATCACTGATGGCTATATATATTCTTTTTGCCATTTTTTAAAGACATTACTGAACTTGTGTGCCTTCATATATATGTCTAAAATGAACTGTATTCATAATTACTTAGGAAAGCACTTTCATCCCATCTTTGACTTTGAGTCACTTGTTTTTGCTATATAAAAATCATCTCATCTTCAAAGGTTTCAGTAGGTAGGGAGATAAGTGTTTAGAAGCCTGAAGGATGCTAAAGATTAGGTGATGTTCTTTAAAACTTGACCTTTCATATACTAGCTTATATTTTAGAATAATTATGTGGCTGTTATTCACTTACTAAACTTTTTAACAAGTCCTTTTATCAAGTAGGGGTTTCTAAAAATGTACATTTCACACACTAAGCAAAATATATTTTAAAGGGTTATTAGTGAATCTCAGAAAAGTAAATAATAAAACTAAATAAAAAGAATACATGGCAGGGGTGGGCGGGAAGAGATTAACCAAAGAACTTGTATGCATATATGCATAACCCCTGGGCACAGACAACAGTATGGTAAAGTGGGGAGGGTGTGGGCTATAAGGGGCCAATGGGGAAAAAAGGGGGACATCTGAAGTATTTTCAACAATAAAGAATAAAAAATAAATGATGTATTTTCCATTTTCTTTAATTATTACTCTAAAGCGCCACAAGCAATGAAGTGTTGTATTTATTTAGCCTGATTTAAATGCTTTTATTGAGACTTTTAGAATTTTTATAATGTTTGCATTGATTTATAAAAAAATCTGACATTTGTATTTTATTTTCATTATTATTTTTAAAAATTTTTATGAGTTTATTTGAGTCAAACTGACAGCATTGATAGGAAGCAAAATCTCAAATGCTCTGACATTTGTATTTTAAAGACTGTTTAAAATTACAGTCAACCTAGAAGAGTGAAAATTTTTAAAGAAATACATAAATATGGCTTTAGACCGACCTTTTCAAGTTATAACTTTATCATTAAAATCTATGTAGAGTGAATAATAGAAACTAGCTCCTCTTAAGGTTTGATTATTTGAAGTATATATGTGCTTTATACAGGAAAGTATTTTTCATCCTAGTTTAACTGAGCTCCAACCAATTTCATCCTAGTTTAACTGAGCTCCAAACGCTAATGCGTTTTTAAAACATTTGTGAGACATTCCTCTAAAGTAATCATCCTGTTTTGCCCTGGTTGGTGTGGCTCTGTTGGGCATTATCCCAAAAGGTTGCTGGTTCAATTTCCAAGTCAGGGCATATGACGGGGAGGCGGGGGCATGCAGGAAGCAACCAATTGATGTTTCTCTCTCATTGATGATTCTCTCTCTTTCTCCCTTTCACTTCCTCTCTCTGAAATCAATAAAAACATATTTTTAAAAAATAGCTTAAACAAAAGTTTAACTGGATCAAAACTTTGTTTTAGGTGGTTTCCAGTCAGTGCTCATTTCCACCAGCAGCTGAGCAAACTATAATTTCAGCCCTAAAGGTAAAATAATTTCATTGAATCTTTGACTATAGATCAAAGTGGGTTTTAGAATTATTTGTTTGAATGAGTGGGAGATGTCACATTTTAAAACTAATTCTGAATTCTCTACATATACCAAAAGTACCATGTTCATACTTATCCTAAAGAGGGAGGATACATGTGTGTTTATATTTTCTAGAATTTAAAAATATATTGACTCTGTTGGTGTCTACAGATTGTGTTCCACGTAGGATAATTGTATCACAAGCAAGAGAAGCAAGTATTCACTGTGTCTTAAAGTAGTACAGGCAAGCATTATCCTGTTAACGTAGTGGTTCTTCACCAGGTTGATTTTGTCCCCTATGGACATTTAACAATATCTGAAAACGTTTTGATTGTCACAACTGGGAAAGGGGTGCATCTAGTACCAGGGATGCTGTTAAACCTGCAATACATAGGACAGCTCTCCACAAAAAGAACTATAGAACCCTAGCTGGTTTGGCTCAGTGGATAGAACGTTGGCCTGGGAATCAGAGGGACCCAGGTTTTACTCCAGTCAAGGGCCCGTACCTTGGTTGTAGGCTCCTCCCCTGCCCGGGCCCTGGTGGGGGAGTATGCAGGAAGCAACCAGTCGATGTGTCTCTTTCACATTGATGTCTCTGTCTTTCCCTCGCTCTTCCACTCTCTCTAAAAATCAATGGAAAAATATCCTCAAGTGAGGATTAACAAAAAAATTATGGAGCTCAAAATGTCAATAATGCCAAGGTTAAGAAACTGTAAAGTGTGTCTCTAAGGTTTGAAACTAGAGTAAATTACCTTTTTAATATACTCCAACATAAATATACCTCCTTTCTAGCTACTAAGGAAGTTTAATGGAAAACAATGTTGATGGGAGATTCAGAGTGCTCATCTCATTATCATGAAATATTATTAAAGCTGCCATAATAAAGTAATTGTTTTTAGTAAGAGTTGCCCAATTTATTACTGATCATAAAAACAGTATAAAATCAGGTCAGTATGACAAACCGAACGGTTTTAATATTCTTGCTCCTAAGCAGGAAATACATGTAGTTTTCTTTTCTGTAGTTCCACATCTTTTCCTTATATTCTAGCAGTACTGTCAAACATTTTTTGATCACTACCCAAGATAAGAAATAAATTTTACTTTGGCACCCCATACATAATACATAAGCATTTATTAATATATCTGCATATACAATTGCATATATATATACATATAAATATATATACACACATATACACATATATAGAATATACATCTATATACATTTCCATACTTAAAACAGGTTTCACAAAACAATACTTTCCCTTATTTTTGTGATGTACTCTTATTTTTCTGTACTCATATATTATTTTTTAAAACATCCTGATAATGATCCACTAAATTGATGTTTGAGAAAGTTCATTCTAAAGATTAAGATAGAGTGCCTACACTTTTCCTGATAATAAAAACCTTCTGGATAAGTTAAAAATAGAATTCCTTGGAGACGATAATTCATATAGGGTGGATTCTCTGAATTTTAACATACAATTAAGGTTATTCCCAACAGTCACTTTGGGCTGGGAGTTGAGGTCAGTGCAAGGAAAATTGACTTCATCTTGGGCTGTAGCCCTCACGCTGAGGTTTGCCCACCAGAACCAGTATCTTATGTAGCTGGGCACTGCACTTTACTGAAACTTTAATCTTTGCCCTTGAGAAGATTAGCAATCAGTTCAAAGGCATCTTGCAGTGGCCATGCCAGTTAGAGACTTAATTGCTTATGTTAACAGAACTCAGTTTAACAGTTTGACCTTGATTTTTAGTTCAAGCTTATCAAAATCATTATGACACATTAAGGAAAACACTAATAAAACCCTCCTACTTAAAGAAAAGACTATTTCATAAAACTGTATTTCATAACATTATATGAAGCTTGTTACCTCACTTTGAGTTAGGGATAGAATGTTAATGATGAATACATGACTGCAGCCCAAGGACCAAAAATCTATGGTTTTAATAGTTTGTAGAGAACCAAGATGGCGGCATAGGTTAACGCCGGAGTTTGCTGCTTTGAACAACTACTTCAAAAGTGAAACCAAAAAACGGAAGGGACATCACCCAGAACCACAGGAACGCTGGCTGAGTGGAAGTCCTACAACTAGGAGGAAAGAGAAACGCATACGGACACTCAGAGGAGGCGCAGTGCTGAAGTCAAATTCTGAGGTGCGGAGTGCGCGAGCAGGCTGGCGGCGGAGGGCACGGTTGGCGTTTTCAATCGGGAGGGAGTCGCAGACTCTGAGCTCCAGATCCGGGCGAGTCTTTAGGGACCCAGACTCAAACAGGAGAAGCGGGACTGTCTGGCTTCGGTCAGAGCGAGTGCAGCTTTCTCTCTGAGCTTTGCAGCGGGTGCTGGGACTCAGAGAGGCAGGGCTCCTGGGGACAGGACTGAGAGCCGCCATAACTGCTCTCTCCGGCCCACCCTGTTGACCCTGTGCGACCCGCCCCGCCCAAGCCCTGCACACAGGCATTTGCCGGATAGCCTCAGGCAAACGCCAGATTAGCACCTCCCTAGAGGACAGAAGTTCTCTCACTGCTGACACAGCTGATTCTCATAGCCACTTGGCCTGGAGGTCAAACCCTCCCTGGAATTAGCTACAACAATCAAGATTTAACTATAAGACTTCGAACAAAGACCACTAGGGGGTGCACCAAGAAAGCATAACAAAATGCGGAGACAAAGAAACAGGACAAAATTGTCAATGGAAGATATAGAGTTCAGAACCACACTTTTAAGGTCTCTCAAGAACTGTTTAGAAGCCGCCGATAAACTTAATGAGATCTACAAGAAAACTAATAAGACCCTCGATCTTATATTGGGGAACCAACTAGAAATTAAGCATACACGGACTGAAATAACGAATATTATACAGACTCCCGACAGCAGACCAGAGGAGCGCAAGAATCAAGTCAATGATTTGAAATGCGAGGAAGCAAAAAACACCCAACCGGAAAAGCAAAATGAAAAAAGAATCCAAAAATGCGAGGATAGTGTAAGGAGCCTCTGGGACAGCTTCAAGCGTACCAACATCAGAATTATAGGGGTGCCAGAAGATGAGAGAGAGCAAGATATTGAAAACCTATTTGAAGAAATAATGACAGAAAACTTCCCCCACCTGGTGAAAGAAATGGACTTACAGGTCCAAGAAGCGCGGAGAACCCCAAACAAAAGGAATCCAAAGAGGACCACACCAAGACACATCATCATTAAAATGCCAAGAGCAAAAGATAAAGAGAGAATCTTAAAAACAGCAAGAGAAAGAAACTCAGTTACCTACAAGGGAATACCCATACGACTGTCAGCTGATTTCTCAACAGAAACTTTGCAGGCCAGAAGGGAGTGGCAAGAAATATTCAAAGTGATGAATACCAAGAACCTACAACCAAGATTACTTTATCCAGCAAAGCTATCATTCAGAATTGAAGGTCAGATAAAGAGCTTCACAGATAAGGAAAAGCTAAAGGAGTTCATCACCACCAAACCAGGATTATATGAAATGCTGAAAGGTATCCTTTAAGAAGAGGAAGAGGAAGTAAAAGATAAAGATACAAATTATGAACAACAAATATGCATCTATCAACAAGTGAATCTAAGAATCAAGTGAATAAATAATCTGATGAACAGAATGAACTGGTGATTATAATAGAATCAGGGACATAGAAAGGGAATGGACTGACTATTCCTGGGGGGGAAAGGGGTGTGGGAGATGCGGGAAGAGACTGGACAAAAATCGTGTACCTATGGATGAGGACAGTGGGTGGGGAGTGAGGGCGGAGGGTGGGGCGGGAACTGGGAGGAGGGGAGTTATGGGGGGAAAAAAAAGAGGAACAAATGTAATAATCTGAACAATAAAGATTTAATTAAAAAAAAAAAAAAAAAAAAAAAAAATAGTTTGTAGAAAATATATTAAACATACTTTTCTATCTACTGAAAATATAGGTAAAGACATATAATAGCCTTTTCTTTGAAATTGTATCTAAAATCAAATGTTATTTAGGCTTGAAGTTCACCATCATGTTATAAGCATTATTTAGTTTGTCATGAGTGGCATAATTACTCTTAATTTCAAGTCATTTCATTGTAACCACCTCAGCTCTAAGTACCATTTAAACACCTTGGCCCAATAATTCTGTTTCATTTATTACTGTGATTGAATGGTACAGATAGTGATTGTATTGCTAAGTTTATATATGACAGTTTTTCATTTCCTCCTTATTGTGAAGTTTTGATGTTCTAGATCAGCCGTGGGCAAACTACAGCCCGCGGGCCGGATCCGGCCTGTTTGAAATGAATAAAACTAAAAAAAAAAAAGACCGTACCCTTTTAGGTAATGATGTTTACTTTGAATTTATATTAGTTCACACAAACACTCCATCCATGCTTTTGTTCCGGCCCTCCGGTCCAGTTTAAGAACCCATTGTGGCCCTCGAGTCAAAAAGTTTGCCCACCCCTGTTCTAGATGAATGAATATCCCCGATTGCTAAGGCTTCAATATTTTTGTAATCTTAGTTATTTTAAATAAATCCTTTTAAAATGTATGACAGAATTCCCTGCTTTTTTTGCAAAGAGCTTATGAAATATAATTTTATCTCCTTTCTCAATTTCCTCTCATAGTTGTTAGTACTCTGCCCATCCTTGAAGGCATTCCCCAAGATGCTCTCTTCTCTTCCTGTTTTATATTTTCCCTAAGTAGGAAACTTCATCAGCTATTAAGTTTTCTGTGTATGCCATCATCATGTGCAAATGGAGACAATTTTATTTCTTGCTTTCTGACCTTTATGCCTGCCTTTTCATGCCTTGTTTTATAGTCCTAAATAGAACTGGTGAGAGTAGACCTTGTTGACTGGGTGCAGGCACTCAGTATTTTACTATTTTAAGTATGATGTTAGCTAGAAGGTGTGTGTGTGTGTGTGTGTGTGTGTGTGTGTGTGTGTGTGTGTTTTAAGATGGCCTTTATGAGATTAAGAAAGTTCCCTTCTAGTTTTAGTTTATGGAAACTTTTTATTATAATAAATGGTATTGTTTCATCAAATGGCTTTTTCTGAATCTATTGATATGATCATGGTTTTACTCCTTTGTTCTGTTAATAAAATCCTTTATAGGAATTTATTTTCAAATATCAGACTGACCTTGGTTATGATTTATTACCCTTTTTATGTATTCCTGGATTTGATTTACCTAATGTTTGTTAAAGATGTTTGTATCTATAATCATCAGGGATATTGGTATATAGTTTCTTGTAATTCTTTGCTTGGTTTTTATATAAAGTTAATACTCACCTCACCAATTAGGTTTGGAAATGTTTCATCCTCTTCTATTTTCTGGAAGAATTTGTATAGAATTTGTACTGTTTTCTTCTTTAAATACTTAGTAGAATTCACCAATGAAGCCATGTGGGCCTGTAGTTTTCTTTGTAGAAAGTTTATAACTGCATAGGATTGGTTTCCAACTCTGATATAAAAGGGTATCTAACTACACATCCTGCTACAAATAATTATGGGGAAAATAAAAAAAACAAACGAAACAAAAAAGCCTACTGGAGGGCTTTCGAGATGAGAAAAAGCAGGATGTGGAAATCTAGAGCACGCAACAAGAAGAGTTTCTCATTGTGCGTGACTTTGCTCTAAAAGTGGTGACTGCAGTCCTGGCTCAGGCAAGTCTGGGTGGCTAAAAACGAGAGAAAAACAAAACAGAACGAAACCTGCAGACCTTCAGGCCAAAGGAACCTGGGGAAAGAGCCCAGGTCAACCAGGGCTGCTGGAAAGTGAGAGGCAAACCTCAGAATGGAGAGAGTCAGGGGAGAAGGATGCCCAATCTCTGTTCCAACTCTGCACTAGTCTTCATTTGACTTATCAGCCATGCAGGTACAGAGCAAACTAAGAGTGGTTTTTGCGAGTAAGGCTTTCGGAACTGAACTGAGATCTAAGGCATGGCCAACCTGGTGCCCTATCCCCGCATCCACTTCCCTTTAAATTCAAACCTTTAACCACATTTTTGCATGGCTGAAAACCCATCATTGATTTCCCAGTCCCTTCAGGATAAACTCCCAACTCCTTAGCCCTCTACGCGGAGTACACCTGCTGCCTGGCTCTTTCCTACATAGGCAGGCACCTCACGCTATCGGTATTGAAGGCTTGCAGTTCCCCAAATGCATCAGCTTTCCCAGGCTCCTCTGCCTTAACATAAGCCCCCCTACCCCTACCCTGTGTCAAGTGGTTCTTCCCTATTTGTCCTTTGAAATTCAGTTCAAGCAACACTTTTTTGGATTTCAGATCCTCTCAGTATGAGTTGTCTCTCTCATGATCTCCTAGCACTCCTAGAGCGCTGATATCACTGTAACCTACCTGTGTCAGAGGGCTGGAGACGACATTTAGAAGTTTATTGAATAAGGGTCCTATTTAAACTTTTCTTGTTGGATGAAATCATTTGTCTGAGTCAAAGCCATCCATCTTCATTCTGTGTATAATCATAACATATATAATGTTCTTAAATTTTTTATTTTGAATGTTTAGATTTTAGTGTAAAACTATTGAAGCCCGGTCAGTACTTTTACACTAAAAACCCATAACTAAGGTCTAGCATTTGGCATAACCTAACCAATGGTTATATCTCACTATAGAACAGTTTCTCAGTCTTAGCACTATTGACATATTAGTTCTTTGTTGTTGGAGACTGTCCTGTAGGATGTTTAGCAACATCTCCATCTTCTGCCCACAAGATGCCAGCAACAAAACCCTGGCTCACCCCAGTTGTAACAATGAAACAATGTCTCCAAACTTCATAGTGGCACTATTCCTCTCTTTTTCTAAAATGAGCAGTGTGGAGGAGTTGAGATTTTTCAGTGCCATGTTCTACAACTATTATGCTTTAAAAATCATTTCTGACAGCAGTTAGGGAGAGGAGCAGACTTCTGTTGAGTTATTATAACTACTTTGATAAAATAGGAAAACTTTAAGTCAGAATGCTTCTCATATCAGATTTCTTTGTTAGTCTTCAATTTTGTTTTTCCTCCCTTTTTTCTTCTTTTCAGACAATCCATGTTCTTATGGGAAATGCTGTTCAACCCTTACTGACTTCAGTGGGAGATGCTATAGAGGCCATAATCATCACCATGCACCAAGAAGACTTTTCTGGGTAATAACTTTAAACCAAAATTTTCACTAGCCTTTGTATTTGTTTTTCATTCCCCTCTCCACGCTGATCCCCTGAAGTCTCCTAATATCTAGAGTTTGTTCCTCTTGTGTCAGAGTTAGCCTCCAACCTTATCCTACTTTATTCATTACTAGAGGCCTGGTGCATGAATTTGTGCACCAGTGGGGTCCCTTGGTTTGGCCGGCGGGATTGGGCAAAAACTGGCTCTTCGACATCCCCCAAGGGGTCCCAGATTGCAAGAGGGTGCAGGCCAGGCTGAGGGACCCCACCAGTGCACAATCGGGGCCTCGGAGCAACTGCGGGAGGCCAGCTGGGGAGGGACCATCGGATTGGCCAGCCCGGGAAGGACCGGGGAAGGGCTCCAGGGATTATCTGGCCTGTCTCGCTCAGTCCCAATCGGCCAGACCCCAGCAGCAAGCTAACCTACCAGTCAGAGCGTATGCCCGCTATTGGTCAGTGCAGGTCATAGCAACTGGTCGACTGGTCGACTCTCTGCCCCCTGGTGGTCAGTGCATGTCAGCGAGCGGTTGAGTGGCCTTAGCATATCATTAGCATATTACACTTTGATTGGTTGAACGGCCGACCAGACGCCCAGACACTTACCATATTAGGCTTTTATTAAATAGGATGAGCACCATTAGCAGATGAAATTTTTTCAGTTCTTGTTTTCATTATTTCTCTCCTGTCATTGAAACATAGAATCATTAACATCTACAGGACTCAGCTTGGCACTTAAGGACTTTTGGTAGTCTGTACCATCATCTCTTTCTAATTTTATCTTTTTTTTTACTTTTCACAAACACCATGTACTTGAGTTCTCGTATAGGCATGGTATTCCTTGTGTCAAATCCAAATCCTGCTCCAGCTTTGAGGGCAGGCTCCGCCAACCTCTCCCAGAGGGATTTTCCTTTCTCAGAGTTTTGTAGCAATCTAATCTAGTCATATCACACTTCGTCATAAACATTTTGGTATTGTTTCATAGCTGTTTCATATGCTTATCCATATCATATTATCCTGAGAATAAGAATCATAGTTCCTAACCAGTGTTTACTGCAGTCTTTTTAAGTAGAGTTAAATGGTTTTGACTCAGTATATTAGAAAACCTTTTATGGAGAATTTGGAATAGTTATTGTCGATGTGAGAAATGTCCAAACCAAAAATTTATTTGTGCCAAACAGAGGATACATCTGGAATCAGGATCTCAACAAACTGAGAAAAATGTTCCCAAGAATAACATTTCATGTTTAGTTACTATTTTGAACTGTCCTGTTTTTCTTTATATTCATGTTGTTTAAAAGAATATCTACTTTATTAAATTTCCAGCCACTAGTCTGTTTGTGGAAAAATTGTGTGATTATTACACTATCCTTTAATTTTTCAAATCATTTATCATTTCATTTATAAAGTATTTTTTGAAGGGTAAAACGTCAGTCTCTATTTTTTATAATGGTAGGAAGCACCAAAGGGTAAAGTGATTCTACACAAAAATGCTGTAATATTTGGATATAAGAATATAATAAAAGCATAATATGCTAAGTGTCCAACTAGTTGATCAACCATTTGGTCGACTGCTCAACCAGTCGCTATGACACGCACTGATCACCAGAGGGCAGACACTCCGACCAGTAGATTAACTTGCTTCCGGCCTATCGGGACTGGATGAGAGGACTGTACACTCCCTGGAGCCCTCCTGCGGTCCCTCTGCAGCCGGCTGGCCAACCTCCCGCGGTTCCTCCCTGGCTGGCTGGCCGCTCCCATCGGCCCCAATTAATCCCGTTCGCCGGCCAGGCCGAGGGACCCCAACCGTGCACGAATTCGTGCACCAGGTCTCTAGTAAGAATATAAAATTGCTGATACCCCTATTTGGGAAGAAATGAACTTTGTTCAAATGTGAACTGAAAGGTTACAGTTAGGCAAATCATCTGTGCCTCTGAAAAGTAAGCAAAAATGAAGAGATTTTTAAAGTTTTATTTTATGAGTGGTGAGATACTTCAGTAATTATATTGATGAGCCAAACTAGTGCCTACAGGTAACACATTAGACATTAAAAGTTGGTTTCCCAAATAGGTATGCTCTTACTAGTTTGCCTAAATACTAGTGAGCCAGATTGTTTCTTTAACTGTAGGGTTATTATGAAATTGAAGCTTTATTTTAAGGTGTATAACATCCATGTTTTTTCCCCAAATGGCCTTTGATGGTTCCATTTCACCTTGTTCATATGCAGCAGATACTTGAGATTCTACTGCAAGTCATTTTCCATATATGGAAGTATACGACTGTGGATCACTGTTGGTTTATAGTGTATTTAAAGTATTGTTCCTATAGCAAAGCAATAATTTCCCCCCTTTCTATAATATTGTTGTTAGTAATTCTGGTATGTCATGTCCTATATGTATGGCTTACATGAAACATAACGTAAAGTTGGATTAAACTATTCAAGATTAGGCACCACTTTTACAGTAGGGATAGCCTCTAAGGGACACACTTGGAAAATCAAAAGTGAACACCTGCCCTCCCAAGTCCTCTGCACTTCTTCTAGGTAAAAGGAATAAATCAGGTTTATCTTCTAGGCCAGTGGTTCTCAACCTCCCTAATGCCGCAACCCTTTAATACAGTTCCTCATGTTGTGGTGACCCCCAACCATAAAATTATTTTCGTTGCTACTTCATAACTGTAATTTTGCTACTGTTATGAATCGTAATGTAAATATCTGATATGCAGGATGTATTTTCATTGTTACAGATTGAACATAATTAAAGTATAGTGATTAATCACAAAACAATATGTAATTATATATGTGTTTTCCGATGGTCTTAGGCGACCCCTGTGAAAGGGTCATTCGACCCCCACAGGGGTCGCGACTCACAGGTTGAGAACCGCTGTTCTAGGCCAACCCCAACCTCATCTATAATGTGGTTACAGAATTCCTTCCTATCTAACAAGTAATTCTCAACATGGTTTCCTGGTATTTGAAATTTGTTTAATAGGACCAGGGGGTGCACCAGGAATGTCTCTTGTGTGCATTATGTGAGTCCTCATAGTGTAGTTGAGCTTCGCTAGCTATTGTTGTGTCCCTGGGTGTGGTTGACTCTCAGGTTGTCAGTGATGATTGGCCATGACCACAGTTTATGAGCTGCTGTGTAGGGGCAGACCCCAGGAACAGAATTCATCCCAGCAAGGTGGAGAACTCCCTTTGGGTGTGCCTCTTGTGGAGCTAATGAGGTCATGCTCTGTTTGGTCTGAAGGGAGCCACTGGTATGCTGGCTCCTATGTAGGTCAATGTCAGAAGCTGCCTGTGACCTGCCCTTGGCTCCCTGTTAGGAGTTACAAAGTGATCTACAGTTAGTAGTTGTCTGTGCTTTGCCTGAATGCACATGGGATGGGCCAAACTGTGTACCAATGCCTGCTGCCACCAGTACCAGGCCTGGGGCACGTCAGCAAAAGGCCCAACGCACTTGGCAGCCTGCTGCTGCTTGATAGGCTCAGCCACTGAAAGAGCCATAGGTAATATATGAGTTGTGTGATTTAGGTTCTCAGGGAGATACCAGAAGGCTACCAGGTTAATACAGATTGAAACTCAGCACCAGTGCCAGGTCCGAGGCCACTGAGCAGAAGTCTCTGGGTACACTAAGGCCGGCCGTCATCTGCTTGGGGATTGGTGGCGGTGGTGGCATAGAGTCTCAAGAGCCATTAGGGATGAGCCAGTCGAGTTCATCAGGCAAAAGCAGATTAAGATTGGGTAAGGTGGAGGAAAGGTGACACCCATCAGGCATGCAGGCAGAAGGCCTTCACTGTAAGCCACAGAACTAAGCCTCTCCCTGTGTCTGTTACCCCCATAGCCCACCCGGACTCCCCAGGAGTTTCTCAGGAAATACTGCAGCACAGGACCAGGCTGGTCGCCACCAGCAGAGTCCACCGCCATGTGCCAACTGGGCAGGGCGGGGCCTCAGAGTCACCAGGGTGCAGCTAGTGCAGTACTTCAGACTAATGCCATGTATGTTAGGGCATGGGGGACCAACACAGGCATGGTGGCATAGGTCATGTGCAGGGGGAAAATAGCCCTCTCCCTAAATCCACACAACTCACTCTTTCCCTGTGTGTCTCTTGCAGTCCCTGAGCTTGAATGGAATTTCTAACTACTTACTCTATTCCTATCTGCTTCTGGAAGCATCCTACTTATAATAACCATTGCTGTATATGAAAATAAGCTCACCTCATTCTCTTGCATTTGAGTCAGTTTTTCTCTAGACCATTGCCACTTTCTTTATGTCACTCTCAGAATGTGGAAACACTTAACTTATATTTTAAAAACGATTCAGTATTATGTAGCCAGTGATCTCACTGGCTAGTTAATTAATATCAGGTGAGTTCTAATTTTGATTTAACTCTTCTTTCCTATAAATATTTCACATTCTTTGAATATATTCTTTAAAGAGCAATTATAAACACTTATAAATAGTATTTCATGGAGCATCAGCTGGCATCATCTATTGACCCAATTAAAGCCTTTTCAAATCTCATCAACTGGGAGGAAAAATTGCATATGATATGTATTGTTACATAACCAATTCCAAAGTCAGAATTCTACTGTTGGACAGATCAGATTAAATAGGACCATAGCAGAATCATCTTTGCCAAGAATTTGTTTGGGAAAGGCAGCATTTATAAAGTGTAAAATGCTATTTCAGGACCCACTATTCAATTCACTAACCAGGTAAAACATATGAGTTGATGAAGAGTTGTAAATCTGGAAGAGTCCTTAGAGGTCAAAGAGTATGTAAGGCACTGACATGCATTATCTAAGACATGTGCTTGTCTATTTCATTTTTAATACTCTTGAGCTGCCCTGGCCAGGTAGCTCAGTTGGTTAGATCATCGTCCCTATACACCAAGGTTTTGAGTTTGATCACCAGTCAAGGCACATACATGGAAGAACAATGCGTTCATTAATAAGTGGAACAACAAATCGATGTTTCTCTCTTGCTCTCTTGCTCTAGAATCAGTCAATAAATAAGATTCCCCCCCCAAAAAAAATCTTTAGGTAAATGGATTCTACGATTCTCTCAGTAATCCTCCTAACATCTTAAAACAACCTTTAGAATATAACGTAAGCATTATTATATGCCCTGTAACTCTTAGCAAAAATAAAAATAAGCACCAGAAGGGGGAAATGCTCAGGATTGATGGGCAGAGGGGAGAACAAAAGCCAAATAGTCCCTTTAGTGCATTGGCTGTTTTTGTCTTTTGCAGGTCATTACCCAGCTCAGGGAGGCCTGATGTCCCTTGTTCTCTGTACATGAAGGAGCTCCAAGGTTTCATTGCCAGGGTTATGAGTGACTACTTCAAACACTTCGAGTGCTTGGATTTTGTCTTTGACAACACTGAAGCTATTGCCCAAAGAGCAATTGAACTTTTTATCCGCAATGCCAGTCTCATAAGACCTCTCGGTGAAGGCGGGAAAATGCGACTTGCTGCTGATTTTGCACAGGTAAATTGATGCACAGCTACAAAGGGGGAAACATTCAGCCTCAATATTCTCTGTTAAGTAAAAGATTAAATATGTCTTCTTCAGTAGTTTAAAGAGATGAAAACAATAAATTTATTTAAACCTAATTGCTAATAATAATTTTAAAAGTTTAGTGGTACTTTCATAGCAGATATTTTTTTCTTTAATTTAACAAAAGAATCATCACTCATCTTGGATACTTCATGGTTAAGGTGCAGTCACTCATTCCACAGTGAGGCAACATTTCCTACTTTTATATAATGTGGAGCTTTCTCACTGTTTTACTGTCCTACCAGGGCAGGGGAGTATTGATAAGAGTAATTGCTAGGAAGTAATGCAGACAATGAAAGTTACCTTTCAAACTCTGTAAAGAGAAGGAGCTCTCCAGCACATCTGACCCTCTGGTGCCAGCTCACCACCCAAGACAGTGCTTTAATGCCTGTAGCTGCACAGTGGGCGGGGAGACAGCGTCTGAGCACTTGGGCCCCTGTATTAACCAGAGTGCCCTTTTTGTATATGACCAGCTTGAAATCATTCCAAGCTATGTGATGTGAATGAGGTAAAATGCCATTAAAATAACAGAACCACAGTCAGCTTTTATAAAAAGGACTTTTTTCTTTGTCCTTTAAGACATATTTTTAAGCCTTTTAATAGTATCAGAGGCAAAAAGAAACATACATTTTTATTAAAAGATTCAGAATCAGATAATTCGCATATATGTAACATGTCAAAGGTGAAATCATTTTTAAGCCTTTCAAAGTTGCTAGCTTTACTAGACTAAATAGTTATTCAAATGGCTTATTCATAGTGGTTTCCCAGACCTGCCCCTGCGCCTCCCCTCCCCCGCCGCTCATAAAGACAGACAAAATTTAATGTCCCTAAGTATTCCTGTGTGTGTCTATGGGCAGGTCTTGGTTTATTCTTTCTGCCCGGAGGAAAGAATGTGGCAGGCTGCTTATACAGGGTGGTGGTTGGCCGTGCTCCCTCCTACCTGAGAGAGCCACCAAAAGGAACCAGGTACATAATATAATGTCTCAAGAACTAGGCTCTTTGCATATCAGTCCCTCTAGAAATAAGTCAACATTATCCCCAAATGATACGCCTGAGATCAATAGACCACAGTAAAGAGCCTTCCTTTGAGAAATGCGCCTTTGGTAGCCTTAGCGAGAAAATAGAAATGAATGTTATCATTAATGTGGCTCCTTTAACCTTTCCCATTTTTATAAGCTTCCTTCTCAGGCACCTGCACATTTTGCTTTGTTATTATAGGCAAACTTCAGCTTAAAGAGAATTACATATAATAGTGTCTTACTTGTCCCTCACTGGGTTTACAGACTGTTATTGAACTGAAGACACAGTGACATACCAAGACCTGCTCTTATTTATTAAAGATGTTATGAGCTATACGCAAATGAGTGCCTGTTCTTCTTTTGCCCTTTCCTTCTTAATTTTGTTCCTTCTTTTCCTCTCCTCTCCTCTCCTCTCCTCTCCTCTCCTCTCCTCTCCTCTCCTCTCCTCTCCACTCCTCTCCTCTCCTCTCCTCTCCTCTCCTCTCCTTTCCTCTCCTCTCCTCTCCTCTCCTCTCCTCTCCTCTCCTCTCCTCTCCTCTCCCCTCCTCTCCCCTCCCCCCCCCCCCCCCCCCCCCCCCCCCCCTCCCCCCCCCCCTCCCCTCCCCCTCCCCCTCCCCCCTCCCCCTCCCCCTCCCCTTCCCCCTCCTCTCCATGAGCTCCCTCCCCCACCAGTTTATTTGCATTCTGCTCCAGCTGGTTCTTGAGTCACTCTGCTGGAGGCAGCACTTCAAGTCCAATTAGAGTGGCAGCAGAGATGGCCAGAGGAGAGTGCTGTAGGAAGAAGGCGCTTTTTGTTTTTGCTTCTCATTTTAATATGTTCCCTATGAGTCTTGAAGGATGGAAAGTGTTGTCTTTTGACCCTTCCTACTGCAGCAAGCACCTGCTCAAAATGCATAGCATCCAACGGCAGGGCTAAAACTTCATCATTACGAATTTTATTTGGCATTCCTTCTTTTTTTAAAACATGTTGCCCAGTAAACCAGACGTTTTCTGAGGTTCCTTCCCTTTATGTAAATGAAACACCTATATGCTCTAAAGCAGCGGTTCTCAACCTGTGGGTCGCAACCCCTTTGGGAGTCGAATGTCCCTTTCACAGGGGTCGCCTAAGACCATTGGAAAACACATATGTAATTACATATTGTTTTTGTGATTAATCACTATGCTTTAATTATGGTCAGTTTGTAACAATGAAAATACATCCTGCATATCAGATATTTACATTACGATTCATAACAGTAGCAAAATTACAGTTATGAAGTAGCAACGAAAATAATTTTATGGTTGGGGGTCACCACAACATGAGGAACTGTATTAAAGGGTCGCGGCATTAGGAAGGTTGAGAACCACTGCTCTAAGGCATCCTTTGTTTTTCATTTCTTAAGTATATAGAGAAAAGGCATTCACAACACAGCATTTCCTCAGTGTTAATAGTATATGTTCCAGTCCTGTAATGACATTGGTTGCCGCAGTCTGTATGGTACTGATTTCTTTGTTCACTCCTGTACAGTGTGCCCCGGTTTTAGAACTTCCCTCCATTGACCTGGGGAATGGCTTCCTGGGCCTGTGGGTAGTGGGCACAGGAAAGACAGGTAGAAGTACTACCATCATCATATTTGTGACGAGTAATTTTGGCAAATATTATGCAGCTGTTACCCCCACCCCCACCCATATTTTAAAAGTTAAAGTGAATTTGGAGTATTTATTTGATTTGATTTGCTGTCTTACCACAACTGCAATTATGTGTTGTTGTACCTCAGCTTTCAGAATCGTACTTGGGTGGAAGTATTTTTCTGGGGTCAGTGAAAACACTTGAATAGCGTCACCCTGGCATTGATATTAATGACGGGCGTCAACTAGGAACTAGAAAGCCGTAGACTGCCTCATTATTGAAACTGTATTCAAAAATTAAACAAAGCCATTGAGGCCACTGGAATCAGGAATACACAAATTCTTTGTGAGTTTGAAAATAGTTCTTGTGAGAAAAATGCCTGCTATTCAGGCATAAATGACAGAAAAAGAAATTGCTCAAGAAGAGACCACTGGAGTATGTTTGGGAATACTGATTATTTAGCATAAGGTCCAGTTGCAAAGGTAGATAATGATATATTTTAAAGATTTCTTTAGGAATCCTAACTTCTCCCCACTGACACCATTGCACAGGTGAAAGAGAAAGTGGTTGCAAGATGCCATGGGGAGGGTTCATAGTGAGGAAGTACCCAACACACAGACCCATAGGAATCAGGTCACAGCACAAGGTGGTTTCCTACAGGTAATTAATTCCCTACTGTGACCACATGGTCTCTGTGTCTACACTCATCACACAGCAGTCGAAAGCACTAACTTGTCCAAGGCCATGGGGCTCTGCTCATTCCGGATCCCTTCAGGGACTTGTCCACAATGTCCTCTGAAGCACCACTCCCTCTGCTTCTCTGTTTTGTTTCTGCCTGAGGGAATGGATGACTGCTGGTGTTACCATTAAAATAGGTACTCAGGGGTACTTCTAGCAGTTTCTATTTATAGGTCTTCTAGTGTCCTTGAAGTAACATTTATATCTACGTTTCACTTTTTGCCTAGAAATACAAACTGAGAAAACAAAACAAGATAATCAAGATTCTAATTTCTCTTCTAATTCCTATTGCCATTTCTCATGAACAGTGTCAGGGCAGGTGAGTCCTGGGAGCATCCAGAGATGCCCTGTGGTTAACCAAATGTCTGTGGTGGGGAAGGAGCAGCTATGTAATTAGTTCTCCGGGCCTGCAGCTGACCGCCCATTCCCTCCAAACGGGAGCTGACAAGAGGCAGTTGCACATGCCATTTTTGTATTCACAGCTAATTGCAGGGTCACCTCCTCTCAGAGTAACACTCTGCCCTTTAGAAACATGGCCTTTATTATTTAATGGAATTCTGGCAGAAGAAAATGGGTATGGATGAGAAATTAATTTTAAGCACTTAACATTTTGAAATTGTCCTATGGCATAGAAATCTCCTGCATCATCATAGATTACACAGCCATACGAGGTCATATTCTTTTATATTGTAACTAGAGGCCCGGTGCACAAAAATTTGTGCACTCGGGGGGGGGGGAGGAGAGGTCCCTCAGCCCGGCCTGTGCCCTCTCGCAGTCTGGGACCCCTCGGGAGATAACGACCTGCTGGCTTAGGCCTGCTCCTGGGTGGCAGAGGGCAGGCCCAATCCCTAGGTGCAGCCCCTGGTCGGGCTCAGAGCAGGGCCGATTGGGGAGTTGGGGCGCCGCCCCCTGTCATGCACAGAGCAGGGCGATCGGGAGGTTGTGATGCCACCCTCAGTCACGCTCAGGGTAGGGCCGATTGGGGGATTGGGGCACCGCCCCCTGTCACACTCAAGGGAGGGTCGATAGGGAGGTTGCGGCACCACCCCCTGTCATGCACAGAGCAGGGCCAATCGGGGTTGGGGCACTGCCCCCTGTCACTCACAGAGCAGGGCTGATCAGGGGGTTCGGGCGCTGCACCCTGTCACACACACAGCCGCAGGGCGATCAGGGGGTTGGGGAGCTCCCTTCTATCAGGCACAGAGCAGGGCCGATCAGGGGGTTGGGGCGCCTTCCCCTGTCATGAACAGAGCAGGGTGGATAGGGAGGTTGTGGCCCCGCCCTCTGTCACACACAGAGCCGCAGGGCGATCAGGGGGTTTGGGCGCTGCCCCCTGTCACGCTGATCCCAGTGCCGGGAGGCCTCGCTGCTCCGCTGATCCCGGTGCTGGGAGGCATATTACCCTTTTACTATATAGGGTAGAGGCCTGGTGCACGGGTGGGGGCCGGCTGGTTTGCCCTGAAAGGTGTGCTGGATCTGGGTGGGGGTCCCCACTGGGGTGCCTGGCCAGCCTGGGTGAGGGGATGATGGCTGTTTGCAGCTGGTCACACACCCTTCAGGGTGGGGGTCCCCACTGGGGTGCCTGGCCAGTCTGGGTGAGGGGCTGAGGGCTGTTTTCAGGCTGGCGGGTGACTGAAGCTCCCAACCACTCCTTTTTTTCTTTTTCTTTTTTTTATTCTGGGCCAGCTTTAGCTTTGAGGCTTGGCTCCAGCTCTTAGGCCTCCGCTGCTGAAAGTAGGTTTCTGGCCTTTGCTTACAATGTTGCGATCCTGCTGGCTGAAGCCCAGCGGACTAAAGCAGGTTTCTGGGGTTTTGCTTAGCTTCTATATTTGTTACATAGTTGCTTAGAGTTGCAGCTCAGAGGCTGGCAGCGGCAGGCGGGGAACGTTGGAGTCCTCCATCACTGAAACAAGCAAGCCTCATGTTAGTTTCAAGCTGCCTGGCTGCCGGCCGCCATCTTGGCTGGCAGTTAATTTGCATATCGCCCTGATTAGCCAATGGGAAGGGTAGCGGTTGTACGCCAATTACCATGTTTCTCTTTTATTAGATAGGATTTTTCCCTGCAGCCACTTATTTGCTTTTATGAAAAATACTTCACATAATTTCAGTCTGTAAAAAACATATATACCCGCGCACGTGCGTGCACACATACACACACGCGCGCGTGCACACAGGTACATGACTGGAATTACCAACTCAGATAGATGATAATCATACTTTTCCTTTGTGCTCAGTGTAAAGTAAATGACACATTCTGAAGAAAACTAGGAACTCCCACAGAGAACAGACACACAGCCCACCACCCACTGTCCTTTGAGTTGAGCACCAGCTCAAAGCTGCTCTGTTTTGCATTGTTGGCAAGAATCTTTTCATTTATTCTTCTCTATTTTAGCAAGTTTTTCAAAATGGAGCTTTCCTCTAGTGCAGTGATGGTGAACCTATGTCACCTCTGACACGCAAACTCATTTTTTTGGTTGATTTTTCTTTGTTAAATGGCACTTAAATATATAAAATAAATACCAAAAATATAAGTCTTTGTTTTACTATGGTTGCACATATCAAAAACTTTCTATATGTGACACGGCACCAGAGTTAAGTTAGGGCTTTTCAAAATGCTGACATGCCGAGCTCAAAAGGTCCGCCATCACTGCTCTAGTGTATACTCTGTGTCTGTGTTAAGAGAGAAATTCAGCCCTAGCTAGTTTGGCTCAGTGGAAAGAGCATGGGCCTGGGGACTAACGGGTCCCGGGTTTGATTCTAGTCAAGGGTATATACCCTGGTTGCAGGCTTGGTCTGTGGCCCTGGTTGGGGCGAGTACAAAGGCAATCAATTTCTCTCTCTGTCTCTCTCCCTTCTATTCTCTCTAAAAATCAATGGGAAAAAATCCTCCAGTGAGGATTAACCAAAAAAAGAGAGAGAAATTCACCTGCTCAGAAGTCACCCTCACGACCTTATGAAGAGCCCTGCCCTCCAGTTCTCCCCTGACACTCAGTTCATACATTTGATACCACGTGTCATTTTGCTGAATAATCATCATTGTATGCTTGTGTATGTATGTATGTATATATGTGCATATATGTGTACACACACATCTTCCTTGGGATTTTTGAGTAATGATTATATCATTTAGATAAATATATCCCCTTCTTTGCTAAATTTGAGAAAGCAAGACAGTCTCATTCATCTTCTCATCCCCATGTCTAGCTTGTTGTCTGCAATGGATTGGGAATCAAAAATCTTTCTCAAAATAGGGATTGGTTAGGTCTCCATGGTCTTCCAATGACAAGGAGATTTGAACAGTTTTTCAGAAGAATGGCCAGCAGGATGGAAGCCCCCACTTTCCTTTTGCATGTTTTTCTTGAAGAAAGATGCTGCATTACCAGGGAGCAGCCTTGTACTCAACTATTTTCTAACCCATCCTTTACTGGAGGGTCCTCTTTATACCAGGAGTGGAGAGACAGCATCCTCTGAGTGCCACATATGCAAACACTTTGCATATGCAATTGGTAGGTAAAGAGCAGGTAGCCTAAATCTCCAATTACTGACAAGTAAAATTTCCAATCAAAGGAGGAAAATAAAGAGAAGTGAAACCAATAGTTGCTAAACTATTGTCTGAATGCAAATTTACTAAGCATATAAATGAAGAAAAGTTTTAAAAATACTGACAATAATTGCCAACATTTAAAGAGACTTACTATATATGTAAGGCACTGTGCATGTGTGGAATTATCTATTTATCTGAATAATTATATGAAGTAGATCTTATCTCTGCTTGAAAGATGAGAAACCTGGAACTTAGAGTTTAAGTTTAGGGCCACACAGTAGTCATTGAAGACTGGAATTCTTACACAGATGTGCTCCCTCCAGAGTCCGTGCGTTAATCACTTGAGCCAGCCTGGTAAAAATTGTCATTATTTATATTTAATATAAAAGAGCTTGTTATGCCTACTTACAATATAGGCACAAAGTCAGTCTTCACACCTTCCTTTTTCTGATCTTTTTAATGGAGAAAAGGTCTAAACTTTCTCCTCTTACATAACCAAAAATATTTTTGTATTTTCTTGAAGGAATCGTCTCATTTTATGCCCTTTACTAAATAAGCACAAAAGTTATCTAAGTTCTTATCTTTTAATAAATTTGATTGACTTTTAAAACTTGCCTCACGGTCAAGATAAAATTAAATTTAGTGCAAGCTACAACTTTCTATGATCCAGGTGTATCTCCAGTTCACCTTAGGATTCTGGCATTAAAAGCTATGAGTGCTTTCTTCTTATATTTCAGATGGAGATGGCTGTGGGTCCGTTCTGCAGAAGAGTATCTGATTTAGGAAAGTCCTATCGAATGCTGAGGTCATTTAGGTGAGACATAATCCTGTTATTGCTGTTAATATATCCATATCTATTTGCAGATATATCCTGTTTAGCTGTATGAAATTGCCAACATTTAACTCCTTTGTGAACTACAACAATGGCAGTTTCCTATGGTTCATCTCAAAAGTTATGCAAACCAGAAACTTGTATAGAATTATATGCAGTGACTAATGAGTGTGTGTGTGTGTGTGTGTGTGTGTGTGTGTGTGTGTTATTTTGAGTTACAATTCACAAGATTGAGATGGTAAATTTGATTATGTTCTTTCTAGGGGAATTTTTTAATTCCATTTTTACAGAAGTATATTGAACAATACCAGACAGTTCATAATTATATAGACATCTTTTTCTGAAATTTTCATTCATTCATCACTCTCAATCCAATCTACTTCTATAAGTAGGTCATAGGTTACATTCTATAACAAAACTATTGAATATTAAAAGAAGTGTTTAGTGATGAAATGTAGTTAAACTGAAGATAACTAGTATAGTTGAGCACAAAATTTAGAATTGAGCTTTCTAAAAATCAGTTAAAAAAGAAAAACAGTGAGTTAATTCATACTCATAATGTAAGAATATACCAATTTAAGGAAAAATACTTTTCAGTGCTGAATGCTTAGATAGGTTTTTTACCAACTCAGATTTTAAGGAATTTTGAGTTCCAGTGCATGATAACTGGTATCTTCAATCACAGATTATAGAGGATAAGATGTTCCTGTGGCTATTTTTTCAATAAGCCATCACTTCCCAAACTTTTTCACATCGTGGCACACAGAGAAAATGTATACATTCAGATGGTATCTTACCATCCCTGAGTGCTGAGGGGATCACCATAATATTTATCACTATTTTGTGGCCATGGCATACCAGATGAGAAGCCTTCATATAAACTATCCATAATGTCCAACAGCATACAGGGTGGGGCAAAAATAGGTTTATAGCTATGAGTATGCAAAACACAGAATTTATTCTTGCATTATTTATTATTATTTTCCATATGAAAAACTGTAAACTTATTTTTGCCCCACCCTATATAATGGTCTTTGAATGTATTTCTATGAAGATAAAGTAAGAGAGTCCAGTCACAAAGGAAAATATTTTTTTTAGAAAATACATTAAAAACAAAAAAGGAGAGTCTAGTCATGTGGCTTTCTAAAAATGGACTCAGTACTGGAAACTAGAGTAATCAATAAGCAATACGTCCTTTAAATAATCATTTTTCTCTCTTATTTCATCCAAGTTTTTGATAATAAGGAAATTCAGGTGTAATGTCACTTGAGATATGAGAACTTAAGGTTGTTGATTGAAGAGGGAGTCCTGTTCGATTCCCGGCCAGGGCATATGCCTGGGCTGTGGGGCTCAATCCCCAGTAGGAAGTGTGCAGGAGGGAGCCAATCGATGTTTTGCTCTCATATCAATGTTTCTTTGTCTCTCTCCCTCTCCTCTCCTATCTTTAAAAATCAGTTTAAGAAAAAAAAATTGTGTCACAGTATGGTGATATAAGGGTTTTACATAAGACCAATTCTGTTAAAACAGTCACTTAAGATTCTCATATGAGAAGAGGACTTTGAAGGATCATTTTAGTTTGAATAGTGACACCTTCTAGTACAGTGGTTCTCAACCTTCCTAATGCCGCAGCCCTTTAATACAGTTCCTCATGCTGTGGTGACCCCCAATTTCATTGTTACAAATTGAACATAAAGCATAGTGATTAATCACAAAAACAATATGTAATTATATATGTGTTTTCCGACGGTCTTAGGCGACCCCTGTAAAAGGGTCGTTCGACCCCCAAAGGGGTCGCAACCCACAGGTTGAGAACCACTGTTCTAGTACCTATTTATAAAAAAAAAATAATGATTGATCAATGTATAATAAAAAAAAAAGCCTGTTTTTTATTTCTAGTTTCTCTCATGGAACAATAGTCAATCTAATTGGGTTTCAAACTTTTGACCATGACTTACAGTAAGAGTTATTCTGTATCACAGTCTGGCATCGATTTGCGTGCAAACATGCAGGCATACTCAGACCCACACATGACACACATGCCCACTCATGTGTCATGAAGCAGTCATTATTCTTACGTGTGATATGCTCTGACATTTCCTTTTTATTTGATTATTTTAACCCACTAAATGCTTTCATGACTCACTAATGGTTTGCATCCAGCAGTTTCTCACCTTTCTCACAGGAAGCTTAGCACTTCCAATTTAGCTGCTCTAGTAACAGCAGTAGGGTTTGCTCCTTTCTACAACTATGAAGATTTATGCCCTCTTCTCCTGGGATTCTGGTGTACCTGAGCTTCCTCAGCACTTATATAATAACTAATGACCCAGTGCACGGATTTGTGCACATTGAAAGGAAATTGATTAGAAGGTGGCTGGGGGGTGGGACTGGGCAAGACGGGCATGACGTGCCCTGGAGCCAACCTCTGTGGTCCCTCTTGGTGTCTGCAGAGTGAGCAGGGTACCACTGGCAGGTGGGGCCCCTTGGCCTGGCCTGCGGGGATTAGGCTGAAACCAGCTCTCCAACATCCCCCGAGGGGTCCTGGAGTGCGAGAGGGCACTCTGCAAAGTTGCTGTCGTACAGGCCGTACAGGGTGTGGAACGCAAACGCAAGTGTGCAGTAAACCAGGTTTGTGGCTGACAGTGCCCAGCAACAACTTAACCCACAGTCGAAGGTGGAATCACATGGCCCATGAGGAATCAGGCTCCCTCCTCTCTGGTTCCGGGGTGCATCACCCAAGAACCACTGCTGCCAAGTCACTGCAGCTTGGCAGGCTCCTGCATTGAGCATCTGCCCCCTTGTGGTCAGTGTGCGTCATAGCGACCAGTCGGATGGTGGGAGGGACACTTAGCATATTAGCCTTTTATATAGATAGACTAGTAGCCCGTTGCACGAAATTCGTGCACTGTGGGTGGGGGGGGGGTGGGGGAGGGCCCCTCAGTCTGGCCTTCACCCTCTCCAATCTGAGACCCCTCCAGGAATGTCCAGCTACCTGTTTGTGCCCACACTTTTAACAGATAACAGCTCTATTGTTGTTTCTTTCTTATGCTTAAAACCATTGGAATTAGTAGGTATTCAAAGTGTGTATACATTTTTGGGGGACACCCTGTATATCTCTAGTCAGCGGTGAAAGAAACCAACAGCAGATTTGGAACCCCCAGACAGGGAACCTCGCTCACTCCCCACATGTCTCCCCACTTCACTTTCCACCTTCGTGGGCGGCAGGAGAATCAACGTTTTCTCTCATTAATTTGGAAAAGCACGCCTTGTCACCCGCTGCCTGGCAGGAGTGCGCTAGGCCCCAAGCAAGCGAGGCTCAGTCAGGGCAGCCTTTGCTCATGGGTGCTGGCACCCAAAGTGCACATTCCTCCTCTACAGTCACCCCAACTATCTCACTGTTTCACTGAGAGGACGGAATTCCTCTCCGCCTATGGGTTCTTGATCTTGAACACTGACCGAAGGCACCTCAGCGAGGGCCGCCCGCGCCCACGAGGTATGTCTGTCTGCATCTGCTCTGCCTCAGCACCTGCATTAACCCCTTAGAGGTGATCTCTTAGCTGCACTGGCCTCCATGGGAACAGGGCATCACCACTCCGCCCTCTCACTGTCATCTCACAGGCGCCCACCCTCAGCACCCAGAACACCCAGACACTCTCCAAAGGACATGAGCGCATCAGAGGGGATGTGTGCACATCCTGTGGGGGTGTTAGGCATGCTGGGTTGATGGAAGTGTGGTGGAGAGGCGGGGGGAACTTGTGTACGCCTTGGTTTGCAACTGTTGCAGGCGCGGGAGGATGACAGTGTGCTGGGGGATGTTCGCACGCCAAGAGGGGATGTGCACACCGGAGGCCTCTGGCTTTGCAGATCCGCAAACCCCCGTGGTGCGGCCAGGAGGACGTCAGTCTGTTCCACCACGGTGGCTGTCCCTGCGATCTTGCACCTTCTGGGCCAGGAGGCGGATCTTGCGCAGCCACTCCTGGGCGCTGATGGCCTGCAGGTGCTACTTCAGCTCAGCCTGCAGGCTCCGCTTGGCGCGCTCACAGCTGTCACCACCGCCATGTGGGGAGTACAGTCCGCCCTCCACCGGCCTGCCTCCCCAGTCCAGAGGCTCTCTGCGCTGCTCACCTGCCCAGAGTGACTGGGGCTGGGTGGAAGCTAGGTGTCGTGCCCTGCCCAACCCCGGCCGATCTGCCCCTGTACGAGCGCCACCCTGCCGGGAAGGGTCATGCATCCGGGTCCAGGGACCGCGGACAGCCTCAAGCACTGCCCCCCGCCCAGCAGGGTCATGGATCCGGGTCCCGGGACCACGGACAGCCTCAAGCACTGCCCCCCGCCTGGCAGGGTCACAGATCCGTGTCTTGGTTCCGTGGACAGCCTCAAGCACTGCCCCCTGCCCGCCAGATCACGGATCCGGGTCCCAGACTGCGGACACCCTCAAGCGCTGCCCCCTGCCCGCCAGGTCACGGATCCGGGTCCCAGACTGTGGACAACCTCAAGCGCTGCCCCCCGCCCGCCAGGACATGGATCCGGGTCCCGGACCGTGGACAGCCTTGCCCGCTGCCGCCCGCCTTCAGTATGCAAATTAGCCGCCATCTTGTTGCTTCATGATGGGGGTCCCCACTGGGTGCCTGGCCAGTCTGGGTGAGGGGCTGAGGGCCATTTTCAGGCTGCCCGCACCCCCTTCAGGGTGGGGGTTCCCACTGGGGTGCCTGGCCAGCCTGGATGAGGGGATGATGGCTGTTTGCAGCTGGTCACACACCCTTCAGGGTGGGGGTCCCCACTGGGGTACCTGGCCAGTCTGGGTGAGGGACTGAGGGCCATTGTCAGGCTGGCAGGCGACTGAAGCTCCCAACTTCTCCTTTTTTTCTTTTTTCTTTTTTATTCTGGGATTTATTTACCTTCTATGGCTGTCACTGGAGCTGAGAGCCGGCTTTAGCTCTGAGGCCCGGCTGCAGCTCTGAGACCTCGGCTGCAGAAAGCAGGGA